TGAGTACTCATAATGTAACTAGTTAAATGAGATCACTAATATGCATGTATAAAGACACTGCATATTTGAGTAATTCATTACATTACTACCCCTAACCTATTCGTAGAAAGCATCAATTTAATCAAATGCCGTGGACTAGTAATGCAATTATATATTTAGATCATCAAAGTTAAATGCGATATTGATGATGTAATCGTAGAACATGCACCAATTAAATATATCGATGGTTACGTTAGTATTAATAGATGATGCTTTGCACTTGATATATTTGTAATTGATCAGTGATATCATTGCTATCATCAAATATTAAATACTTATAGATTAGAATTAGTTATATAACATATCGGAAAAAATTTTATCATTTTGCAATAAGGAATTACTAATTATGTTATTCTTCACTCTTTTCATGGCTACTGCAACCTTATTGCACAATAGCGGGTAAATATTGATATTTATGCTATGCTTTGCGCTCTTGTTTTCATCAATAAGTTTTCTCTACAGATTATTTGGGATTATAGTAGTTTTCTAGAGGATTACAATTTGTCTTGATTTATAAGATTAACGGTGACTACATCGTAGGATACCACTGTGTAATATCTGCATATCAGCAGTATACAAAAACATTGCTAGCTAAATTCAATTGTGATAGTTGTTTTGTATGTTATGTGACAATAACCTAAAGGTACTGACTATCAAAACTATTATACTGCAATTACCGGCAATAGCTATTCTAGCAATTAGTTGTAATAATATAAAGACGAATGGCTTCAGTACCGGTACCTTCTATATCATAGGGAATAATATAATTATATCATCATATTACAAACTCGAGTCGGAATGGTCATAAATATTACACAAAACTCATATTAATAAATCTTTCAATTTATACTCTAAAGGTAATTGTGTAAACCAGTTTTTCAATATGGAACTAATTAATTTTGCTTTCGTTTATCACCCTCAGTTGGACGAAGCCCAACACCTATGAAAGGACAACCCCCTATGAAAGGAAAAGCGCCAATGAAAGCACACAATGTTACAACAGAGATAGTGAGTTGAATCATATTATGCACTTAATACAGTATTGAAAAGGTCCGACGTTGACCAGTCAAAAGTAAATTATAGAATATTCCTTAATCTAACATTCGTTATGATTTTTTTTCCTTTTCCGATAACGTCCTAATGTTGAAAATATTACAGCAGGTAAGTGTAACTAGAAATAACGTTTATGTCGATAAAATTTGTATTCCTTAATTTCAAAAACTGAAAATTTTCTTATTGATCTATTATTTATTGGATTATTAACTGCTTAAAATTTAAATTTGTCGACGGAACTACTAGTTATATAAGATTGCAAGCCTTATGTACAGTATTACTAAAATTTGCTTTCTTTTCTACTCGGATATTTATTATAATCGTCATCAAAATTCGTTCAGCAAGTAAGCTATAATAACGCACTTTGAATAGATTTGTTCCTGTCTAAAGTACTACCGTACAAGTGAAGATTTAGGCGATTTGTTTGGCCTTAAACTTCATTTACTTACGCTTCTTGGATATGTACTAATTTATCGTAGTGAAATAAAATGATTCGATTAGTATTAGTATTATCGAGATTATAAATACACGAGCAATCTACTAAAAAGCCATGTAAATAGAATGTAATGGTCATATCTTTTTCTTCCTCAGTAACTGACACGACAACAGGTGTGGGAACCGCTTTCATACAAGGGAATGTAAGTGATCTATTTGATATTGCAAGTTAGGACATGTGATAAAACCGATTAAGAAATTTCAAAATTTGTAGAAAATTATTAGATCTTTACGCAAAGATAATTAATCTACGCTAAGCTCTATTCTATCTGGATACAATTACTAGAAAGACTTTTAGACAGAAGTACTGAATAAGCTAAAGTTGCCTACTTGAATACTCTTCGTAGCATTGACAGCTATAATCTGCATAGCAACATTCTACCTTATTTTACAGTTATTCAGATTATTATTAGTAACAACGTTTAACAGCGGACTATCTATATAATCTAATATGGTAACTGCTGCAGTATTTACGTAGACATTATTTTTACCAGCCAAAGTACGATGAACCAACCATATCCTAGTATATGAGTTACATATCTATTTTTGTCTCTAGAATCTATAGTGACCTAACACCCTACTGTACAGTACAGCATATAGTCACCTGTATTCTAACATAGAATCTTCAATTACAATCTATGGCTACAGGCTACTAAAAAAGGCTTATGATAAGTGTTGAAAGCTACTATACCGTATTTCATACTGAAAATGGCTAATAATCTACAATCCAATACTAAGTTACGTTACAGGACTGTGCAATTTTTATGTCATGACTGCTGTTGTAGGTGTCCCTTGTTACAATACTGTATCTGGAGTTTTAGAGGTTTACTAAATTGATTTTAATCGCAAGAAGCGGTATCATTTAATCCAATGGCAGTCATATTTTACGACCTCTTTTAATACTAAAACATGTAATACGTAACAGGCGTATTCTTTACGATTTTACTCCAAAGTAAATTTATTTTTAAACATAGATTTTCAATTGATCTGTTCATTAATGTATGATAACGTACTGTATAAGTTCCTAATATCCTTTAAAATTACCTGAAAATATTTACCGTTTCTTTTCTGTTAGGATGTTGTTTTGGCTTGGGCAGAAAGGATAACTTAGTGAAGCACTTTAATAGATTCTTATTTGGAATACTAGTCCGTTAATCTAACCAGTAACAAACAGATAGATTTCACGCTAATCTTCCCCTTTGCTGTTTAATCTCTTAAATAATTTGCTTCGGTGTGTTTTTTGCGTAATTGAGTGGTATATCATTTAATGCGCTCGTATAGTTAGTCTTATAATTATGAATTAGCTTCTATCTGTTAATTAAGTTGTTTACTGGTGACCTATCGTAACTATAGGAATAACTGTTTTAAAGTAGCTCTTTGATGATGTTAGTATTTTGGGTAAAATAAGTATTGTCATGTAAGCAGTTTTTAATGGAATGTAGCCGTGCTAAAATAATATTCCCTTATAATAATGATTGGCAACAGTAATATATGTTGAAGATAGTGAATTCCCTTCTTATTAATCATAATTAAGCACAAGTTCAATTACAAATTTTTCACTTATTAAAACGTTAAACCAATAAATGTTGCCATACTAAATTTCAGCATTTCGATTGGCTTTATAATAATCTGACTGGATTGAATATTATCTTCCAAATTAAAGATTATAAATAATTATAATCATATAAAATTGTAGTGTTTTTAAGTCATTCTTATCCTTCACTGCTTGTGAGCCAAAAATGGCGTTTGTGCGACAAATCTACATTCTTCAAATGTTTTTATTCTAATTAGCTCTTTTGCATGATTTTAGTAAATTGCAAACATAGGGTTACAGAAAGTATCACTGGAACTGTAAGGTTTCATCTCATGGAATAAAACATGATAATAAGGTTAACCGTCAAATTAACTCATCTTTCTTATATGTTCATACGGTCATACGTAAGCAGTGTTCATTAGCTCATACCGTATACGATAATGATTGACTACGAAAAAGCCCTAGCATAATGGGGTTAAATTATAGCATGAAGGTTAACTATTACGGTGCAAAGCACTATGAGCAATTTCACAAAATCTACGTAATTAGAGAAGAAAATCCTAATTAGGGCATGCAATCCTTAAATGATTCCTCTTAGTGTAAATTGCTTTCACGCCTATAGTTTTAGGCAAGATATACTGCATGTTAATCGCCGATTACCGAGAAACTGCTATACGAGTAATTAGTAGAGAAATAGACAAACAGTTCGATATTCAGACTGACCTGCTTATGCGAGAACCCGACAGATAGCAGTGCCGTGAGTCCGAGACCTCATTAATTTAATACTTCTTTTCGTTTACGGTTAGCAATAGTATTTTAAAGGCCATATCTTTAGTAAGGTAAACAGTAGCTAAAAACTAGTATGCAATAATATGCGTATTCATGCATATGTATTATACTAAATTAGATAATAACGTTATGTCTTACATTGGAAAAGTAAGTTGATTTTAAAATTGAGATTCGAATCTTATATAGCGATTGCCACTTACAAATCAAATTACAGCAAGCGCTAAAGCCAATACAGTACTGTGCAAGCTAATATACGAGATAATGTGAATGTTGTCACACTACTTTAAATAACGATTTAGCTATTATGCAACTTAATATATATAGCAGCATCTTTTTTCTTTTCACATTATTTTCCGTTATACATCAGCAGAATCCTCCAGATTCTCGTCTTTCATAGGCTATTAATTAATGAAAGATACAAGTTATCGCATCTCAAATATTCATAAATTCGAAAGAATAATTTCAATGATCATTTCGGCCCAGTTTTTGCTTGTTTGCACATACCGTTTAATTGACTTTATAAATTTACCTATCTCACTTATTTTGATAATGGATTTAAAAGTAAATAACCGAGCTAATGCCCCGAGTTAACTGAAGTCGTGCGGAAACTTATTAACGTATGGGGTTATGAAAAGTATAAGCTAAACTGGCTACGTCTATGCATAATGCTTTAGTTCATGAATTCATTATTGCAGGACTACGACAAAGGTATATTAACAGAACGGTATTCGGAAGCCGCATTCCGATATAAGCAGCCAATCGGAAAACTTTTAGGTGATTGATTACAAACGATATTGTACTGAATTATACCAGAGGTATCAAGAAAATCTTTTACTTCGATTGATTTATGACCGTGAGATTAAACATAGGTCATTTGTGCTAAGATTATCAACATTCGGAATGTAATAATAAGGTAGTTAAATTGCGTTGACAGCAGAGGTTCACGATATAGGAAATTACCTCATACGGTTGTTTAAATGTTCATAATATTTCCTATACGAGATATTAATACGTTAATTGTGTGTAATACATAGAACGAAGCGACAGTCTGGTTACATATTGCAAATATTTCTAAGAATTGGATAGGCTGATGGGACCAACACCATTACGGAAAAATTTAACAAGACCTTTACAAATTCTCTCTAAAACTGGAAAGAAATCATCTCCAACTACAGTAAGATCTTCTATGGTATTGAGAAAACGTAGTACTAAGCGAAAGGGAGTAGACTCTTCCGAAAGTTTACCAGTTGAGACAGTATCGATGGCCAACGATTTAACGACAAACACCAAACAGAGGATAGCATTAAATCTTTTAGAATATGAAAATTCTACAAATTTGCTAAAAGAAGTTAACAACTCTACGAGTGATTCAAATTCGATTCATGAATTTATTGGTGATTCTTCAAAATCAAGCTTTAGCAGTTTTCGATGCACAAATTCAACAAATTTACAACAAGAGAATGACCATACTTTGGAAAATGAGCGGGAGATGCTAAAAGATTCTTTCCAAGATTCACCAACAACCGTTTTCAATAATCAAGAATATGAAATTCCAATACTTACGGAACAAATAGGTTAGCGATAGAAATGCTGAATTATGATTGTAGTATCATAAGTAGAATAGCTAATAGACGTTAAGAACAGTTAAGAAGTATCTACAATTATAAAACAATTTAGATTGCTACCTGAAAATAAAATATAATGAAAGCTAACTCTTGTAGGGATAACACTATGTAAAATTAGTCCCTCATAGGTAGTTTTTAAGTCATATTATCTTGGATATTCAAGAGGATACAGATGATATCCAACAAGAATGCTACATTGCTAATGAAAAAATGAACTATAGTCATCTAAACCGCGATTTATGCTCTGAAACATCTCCAACATCTACACAACGAATAACAACGACAACAAAAAACTTTATGCCGGAAGAAAGCTACTCAGCAGGTCTGTATAAAGATATATACGATTATGAAGTTAGTCGTTTATTATTTCCCAAGACTATAATATATTAATAAGAAAAGCTTTGAAATGAAAATCATTACGCAAAGTTTATACAATATTAGCTACTTGCAAATTGTAGTAGTAGGTATCAATGATTATGACATAAGAAATGTCTCAAAGTATATACTGTCATTCTTCTTACAGACAGGAATGCCTTCCAGGAAGCATTCAGGGATGAATCTATTAATCTGTATGGGGAATATCTTCATGAAATAGTGCAAATACAAGGTAAGTTCTATGAGCAAGAAGAAAGAAGGTTGAAGTTTGAAATTGAACTTCAAAATTATCGTCAAATGAGGGAAGAGACGAGATATCAAGATGAAAGGCGATACCAGGAAACGTCTTTAACCATAATGAGATCTATCTTGGATTTATTACAGTCTTGAAAATGATTGAATAATACAGTACAGCGCATAAATTTATTGGTAGACATTTTTCTCTGAAGATATGATGAAAGTTTAATTTTGGTTACTTCATATAATCTAAGAAAGGGCATTTCTACTCTAAACAATGTCCATTTACACCATCGTACTGCGAGCTTGTTTTAACATTACACAAAATATCTTAAGTGGAATATGCCAATTAAATGTATCTTTGACTGCTGCTATATCACAGAATCGTAAGATTGATTACATTATATATTTCTTATACTGTATAGTATTAGAGTGTAGTAGGATTGCAGAAATGACATTATATCAAAGTCATTTTAGCCAAATGTTAATTCTCATTCGCTCCTATGTGAATTCATAGCTTGATCAGTTTAATTTATTAGCCCTTTTTAACAACATCCTATGATTAAGTTTAATATTTTAACACAATTGACGCATTTAACGGCTTGTATTAATCTACAGGCTATTATGTAGTAAATTAGAACTTCTAATGACTTGAAGATTGATGAGACATAGAAAAGTTAATCGATAAGCTAATAGCGTGATAACTAGAAAGCAAACTGGTTTAATAAAATGTCATTGAAAATAGAATCGATCTCATATAAATTGAAGTTGATCCTTGTTAGTTTGGGTGATTTGGGTGCTATGCAAGCTTAAGCTGTTGTATAAGAAAAGTTATTTTTCAGTCATTTTCTAGTCATAAATGTTAATTTTTGATGGGACGAATTTGTACTAACCTTACAAAGTGTTTTTTTTTGCCACTAGCGTTTGCATCGCAATATCACAGTAAAATAAAATCAATTTCATATTGTTAAAGCTGTGATCAACAGGATATTGCAACTAGATGTACCAAAAGATGGTGGTAATATAACTTACTGATTTTGAATTATCGCCATTTAAGGTCATTATCACATGCGACATCGATATTACCCATAAAAAGTTGCCACCAGTATTAATATCTTACCATACCAGTAAAATAGAATCAGTTTTACTTTGTTAAGGCTTATAACCAGAGAAAATTTGTAGCTCAATATGGGAAAATTGGTGGTATTGAAATTGATTTTAGATTATTTTTATTTCAGACATTATCAAGTACGGCATACTTAATCATGACTATTAGATTGTTATCATTGATCAATATAACTTTACATGGATTAGCACCGATTGATTTTATCTAATGCGAATTTCTGTCTTTGCTTGAGTTATTAGATGATATAAAATGAACATTCAGTGTCCTATGATAGCAAGGGAAAGCAACGAGTCGTATTATTTCATGTAAAAGATATTCTACAAGTACAGTGCCGAGTGTATCTCTATGCAACAGTAGCCCCATTATGGCCCCATACGATATAATATAAAGTATCTAGTGGCCCTTGATTCGGATGAGTAATACAATTACGAGTAGGTTAACGGAGTACGGCAGTCCTAATTTTTAAATATGTGATATCATAGCGTACTGTGCACTTAATATTTAATTGCGGGTAGATTGTCTTTTGGGGGAGGAGATATTATGCCATACTGCTAGCAGTAGATGCTTCATCATCCCGTTTGATTCTATTGCAATTATTATTGTCTAGCTCATTGCCCAGCACCTTACTGATAATTTTGCGATATTAATAATGTGAACCTCATTCACAAAGAATGAGCTTGAAACAATTTGCTATCAATTCTAGTCGTTGTTGTTATTAGGGCTGTGAGGTAATGTAAAAGTTATTTATAGCGTTTACTTTTTGTGTATGTATATGTTATGTTTTATCTAGAAGTATTGGCTTAATTTACCGGCGGTGTTTGCACCTTAACGCTAGGGTAAAGCAGTAACAATATAAATTTCCCGAAAAGAAAACCATTTTCTTGTCGATAGGAAAATTTATAATCCCAAGTTTATTGCAAGTGTGATAAAATTGTCTTCATTTAGGATATTATGGCATACTGGACTTTGAGATTAATCATCATTTTCGATTGTTATTATTTACTCCTATTGTATTGCAATAAACAAACTCGGCGTAAATTATTTGCTAATTTCCGCTACCGTTAGGTAATAAGAAATTACTTAAAATATACTGGTATTATTTTACGAGGTCATGTAAAGATTTCGAATATATGTTGCAGACTAAGGAATGCTATACTACAGTACAGAATTGACTTTATATAACGTTGGTGATGAAGTGCTACGAGATGCAACTTTTTTTCTGTTAAATATTTGTACACCAATATCACTTTGCTATCGGGTAAATCGACGTTGGCCCTCAATAACTGCCTATGCTTGCATCCTAACGGTACCATAAAATAAAATCGCTTGGAAAATTTGTAACCTTAAGAGTACAACAGCATTTTGTGTAGGAAATATGGCGGAAATGAATGGTATTGCGCTCGTTTTTATTTAAGATATTACAACATTCTACGTGAATCATAGAAGCAACTCAGGTCCATTTTTATTTATCTCTATGGTATGAACATTCAGCGCTTTGGATTTGCTATAAGTTATTATGTGTAATTATTTACAAATGCTGTCAATTTTTAGGCTATTTTTTGGATTATGAGGTCAAATGTAATGATTTTACCTGTTTCAGCGCTCTTTAAACACATGCTAGGCCTGAATATACCGCGGAAAATAATTACGGTACATGTCGTAATATTGAAAATTATTCTACGATGCGGTATAACATTTGATGTAGATACTGACTTGAAAATGGTATAGTGTAGAATTCCCCTCATAGAATGATTTCTTAATCGGATGCCGTTGCTCGTAAACTACTTTTTTTTTCTATTAACGAGTCTGTAAAGAAATATTTTACTTTGGAATAGTTTGATATCGGCCTTACATTGTTGCCAACGTTTGCTTCTACTTAGATAATCTAACATTGGAACGAGACTGCACTTGTGTTGAGGTTTTGACTGTCAAAAAGATTGTTTAGATTTGGAATATTGCTCCATACTAGGTTGCTAATTATCATTCCTTTAGATGTTACCATTAGGCAATGAATAACATTAGTTGAGCGTGTCCATTTCTACCGCTGTTTAATTAAGGTTGTATGGAAATAGATTTGCAATATCCTGTAGAGTAAGTTAGGAGAAAGTGCTATGATGTGTTTCCGGTATTGCCCATCCGTGATTTATTGTAACTTGCCAGCATAAGTTATGAATTACCCCTGTCATGTTTCTATCTTCTTCATACTCAATGTGTTACCTTGATTGATTCCATCATGCAATGCAGTATCATCCTATCATATCACTCAATTCACCTTCTTCTACAGTATACGACGAAATCAATAAAGGCATTGATGAAGACGATGGAGAAATAACCTATGCACGAAATTGAGACGATACCGCGTTTTCAATTGGTAGCTGAGTGGTATGATGTCATCGTTGAATAGACGCATACCGTCATGATCTTATTTGGTTGCTATTGGAGAAATGGAATAAATACAAGTCCAAGATGATGAATCTTCTTTCCATTGTATTCATCATACTAGCTTATGGCAATGTAGGACCAAGATATTCTACTTGATAAACGAATTGAGCTAAAGGTACAGTAGAGAGCGGTCACCGTGGGCCAGCATGTGGTCAAATGTAATTTTATCAAGTTTCAGAAATTGAATCATTTTGAGTCAATTTGCAATCTACAATAGACTACGTGTATGTGCTGATATCATGCTGCTGTTCATGAAATTGGAGTAAGTGAATGTTTGCGTATATTATATAGCTAGAAGAAATGCCGCTTAACCTTCAAGGAATCCACCATCCCCACAGAATATACACTCGGCTTAATGTACAGTATAGATCAGTCGAGAATTTGTGGAAATGAGTGACGTTGGCCCCCCACTGTCGCTATGGACGAAAGAATCCATCTTCCATCCTTCTGTAACCCCATCTACTCCTTTTGGGAAATCCTTCCATTCCAATACAATCTGTGCGTAAATCAGAGTCCTATTTCCATAATGGGCCATTCAGAATGATTCAGTCATTCAGTGTACAAGTAGAGTATTGTTGAGGATGACGTATGATTAGTATAGCATGGCTTCCACACGACAGTAGTACAGTAAGTACAGTAGAGGTGTTGAATGATGTTACTGATTATTATTTTAACGCCAGTAATCCACTACAGTGCTTGTACTACGGTCGTAGAATGAAAGTATAGGTGAGAAAATGAGGGAAAAATGGATCGTGCATGGGTAGATAGATACATTATATAGGCATCATATACGAACTATATAGGGAAAGCATGGGGAAATATGCCAAGTCCTGGACTACTAGAAGAAAGACTTTGGTCTTCCATGGCCAAGCTGACGGCCGTCATTGCGCAAGTAGTTGAAGTTCGGAAAGATGACTCATGATGGTTGAATCATGTCATGAGTTATGACTCATGCTCGAGCTGTCATTCGTCAATGGAAGTTGGAGTTGCTTTCGAGTGAGCCTGTACAGATTGTGTACTGTACTGTACTCGAGTGAGCCTGTACAGTACAGTACAACTACAGATTATGTACTGTACACTGTACAGATTGTGTACTGTACACTGTACAGACAGTACAGTACAGGATTGGGTTGATTACCCTTGAATGATTTCTGCGCAGAAGCAGGGATTTCTTTTGCTGAAAAATGGCATGGTGAAAAGCGAGTTAGTCTACTAGTACAAGTTGAGTAGTGTAAGTACTACTACTGTACCACCAGTAACAGGACTACCGTAGTCTAGATGGGCAAGGCCGAGCGATTACGTCATCATGGGTGTGACGTAACCGCCCATCGCCAAAGCAGCCAGTCAGGGGCTAGGACCAGCAATACTGTAAGTCAAAGTGAAGAAATTGGCTGAGTAAGCAAATCTACAGTGCAGTGTACTGTAATGTACAGTACTCTGTTTGGGAAATGAAGAATACTGTACTGTAGATTGTCCATATTTGGAGAATATATTTTTGATTTAAACTAATATTATTGCACTCGTTGAGCTTTTACAGCCATTATTTTGGCAATGGAGTCTGTCCATGTCAGTAGAGGCTGTTGTCAACAATAATGCTACAGTGCGGAAGTAGTGATATCGATGATACATCAATCTGCAAGTATTGTACTGTATACTGTACTGTAAATTAGGATGGACATGCATCACATGAGTCAGTGTAGGATTTCCTTTCTTTCTTTGCCGTATTCAACGTACTGTAGAGTCATTGAACGTTCTGACGTTCCCGCGACGTTTTCAACGTTGAGCGGCCATTTACTCCCCTACTCGTCGCCATATATGGAGATAATCAGCCCAAAAGGCATTTGGCGGTACCGTACCGTACAGGTACGACGCTGTCCGTACAGTACTGTACAGGTTCTTGTATTGTACTGTAGCTTCACTTGCAAAACATGCCTCAACTTGTCAACCCGTCTACAGTGTACAGTACTTTATACTGTATGTCATCCAACGGCGCTACGGTGGATCAGACACAATAGCAGTCATGTTGCGTCACTATGCCAACGTGGAAGTAGTCCCTGACCATCGACTAACTGTACTGTAGCGTAGAGTACAACAAAAGGTAAACACAACACGTTTCAACACCTCCTGTAGTAATGGTACAGTTCTCCATGTGCTATTTTTAGCTGGCTAGGTTGACGTTGCGGCTGACATTGACATTTGCTTATTGTTCAAGCCATTCAGCGTACCCAAGACACGAACTGTACGATACGCGCGTATTGTACCGTATCGTGGCATATAAAAGAAAGAGCTTGCCAGTCGGTGCACAGTTCGCGGATTCCGTCAGCAGAGGACGACGGTACAATTGGCGCGTTGGTGTTCATTGATTGGGTAACCGCCATACGTCAACTTGGGTACGCTTGTCACTAGATTGCCATTCGAGTTTGTGTCGTGTTGTGGCTTGCCAACGAGGAAAATTTCCAATCATTCTATCGACTCCCATCATCGTCTTGTTTTTGCACTACTAAACTCGTGTTGTATTCCTCCAATATTGTATTTCAATCCAACAGGACTTCTCTCAATTCATACATTACTTGTTTAGTTCAAGCATCCCCCCCCGGCCCAAATCAATCCTATGCGTCATTGATTTCTAGCATACACATTGATCATGTCGGACGTTAATGTAAATCATTTGATACATCTTTCACTGGTTAAAATTGCCAAGAATTTACAAAGCCGTAAAGGTTGCGAATTGAGACGGACGTTATTATTAAGTTCCATCTTAGATCGGGCGAGATACTGTGCTACGACACCATGCAGTGAAAGTGACGAAATGATAATCGGAAATGATGACAACAAAAATTCATGTCAAAATGCGATAGTGGCCCATGCAAACGATTACGATGAAAGCCAAAATGATGCTGTTTGTCAACAATCCCAACAAGGAATGGAAGATTTATCCACAGTGTCGATGGATTGTGAAAGCGTAGCGGACGACAGCAAATTGATACTAGAGAAAGACTCTCAAAGGAGTGATGATATCCATCACAATGATGCCAATCCATCCCATCAGCCGAAATTAAGAGATGATGACCATTGCAACGGTCAAAAAAGAAAGTTACTCATTGTTAATAAAGATCAAGTTGTTCCCGGTGATTCTGTTGAAATTACTGAATTGGAGTACTATCGGGAAGAAGATGAAAAAGATGAAAATTCACTCATGGATTTATGCTCACCCACAAAGCGTATTAAAGTTTTCTAAAGCAACATAGACTCTATCTTCACTAGTTTTTTTTTTATTTTACATCAATTAACCTAGTTGGATAAAGAATTACTTCAACGATAGAAAGAACTTCCTACTCAACATTTCCATTGAGCAATGACTGACATAAAAAATACTAGCTAATACAGCAATAGATTTCATAGTATATTGTTTTGTTGCCGACACAAGATTTGAAGTTAGCTTAGAGGAGGACTGAAGAAATGATCTAAAATGACACGCGCTTCACTTCGTCCTGTCCGCTAAGCAGCAATGTTGCAAGCATTGTTTGGTTATACCATGATACTATCAAATATCATCAATATCAAAAAACACTCTGCACCGGTAGCAAACTGTTAATAATTTCAATTGGTCAAGACTGCTCTGTGAGCAGTCTATATCCTACATTAGGTATTACTATGCTATTTATGAAGCAGGATAAAAACTATGTTGATACAGTAATTTTCTGTATTGAAAGAAACAATCTTAACTTAATATATCGTACTTAGTTGGCAATAAATTATTATATTAAACAATCCATTAAATTAGTCAATACTTTAATACTAAATATTCGTATACCATGTCATTGAATGTAGACTAAATGTAGTAATACTCCTCAATATCTATTATATCAACACTGATTTAAAACCTTTGCTACAGAAAACATTTTCAATTCTTCTAGAACGAAATATTTGACCGTAACGGTGCAAAATGAACCATTTTATTTGATATACATTATATATTTGCCTGCTTTTTTGTTTCTATCTGTACTATACAGTTTCTACTCATGCTAGCTATAAATTAGAGCAAGGTATTTGTATGATATTGTAAAAAAAATGATCTATTAACGCGTTTGTTAATAGATTGAAGTTGCTCACTACTTATTCTTCAATAGGTAATGTCAACTTTCATCAAAGCTCTTGAATGAAGAAATTTATATCAATACTTTGTATTAAAGTATTGTATACTGTATAGCTGCAATTTGTTATTATTATATGACGATGACTTATTAAAGAATGTTATTTTTTGTGCCAAAAAATTGGAAAAAACATTATTCCGACGTAAAGCAAACGAATTGTCAACTAATTTATAATTTATTGTACAATAAAAGAATTATTTCAGACAAGGGGTAAATGTTTTGGATTACGTTATACAGAGTTAAGGAAACTGAATTAGAAACTCATACTTAATATTAATACAAAACACTACAAACTTATTTAAATAAATTAGACTACTGCTTCATGTCTGTTCCTTTTTTGGGCAAAATGAAGAACGTTTGCCACTTTTTACTGTAATCTATTCTGATAGCATAATAATATAACAGATTAATATCGAGGTCGTATTACACAGTTTCAATTTCGTTTTTGTCTCACTCCCATACAAGGACGATATAGGCTAAACTAGGTAGTGAGCGCCTTGATAGGTAGTTTGTTTATTAGTGATTTTATTAAGAGATGACGCAATTGAAATCCGTTGGCATAAATCACCAATGTATCCTTAATATGCAGTAATTTGCTTTTATTACATGGGGGACTCATCGAAGAAAGAAATATCATACACGCCTAGGCACTTCATGTTTTGCTATTGATAACAATGAACCGAAAACAAAATGTTGCACTACAGGAAATTTTCCTACAACCTAAAAATAATAATAATAATATAATACAGTTAGAGAGAAAAATTCACTCCAATGGAATATCTCACTCTATACTTTATGCTAATGTAGGCATTTCTTTCTAGTCATACAGCTTGTGATTCATTATATAATATTGAACTGTTTACGATACATCTGCCAAGAGCTAAGAATAGAAATGAGAGTAATATCTATAAATAGCTGAACGTAAGCTTTCAAATCCCAGAGAATACCGCAATTCATATCGACCTATCTATACGTATTATTTCGAAACTTACTAAATATACTACTGTGGTGTACAATTATAAACAATTTCATTTATAGGTAATAGCTATCCGGTCATCAATTTACTGTCATGCAGTACAATAAAGTTATTATTGTTCACTAACTGTAGAGGACAATTATCAGTAATTGTTGTTATTTCTATTGAATTAAAGTTGGTAGATTTTCATAAAAGCGTGGTATCTTATTCCTACCCTATTAAAGTATTATACGCCTCTTCCGGTAATACTAACGTAAGGATTTTAAATGATAGTATAATTGTAGAGTAGTTCCTTTGAGGTAAAGGGTATTGGTAAACTTGTTCGAATAATTTCGAACTGACTGAAAATAATTAAAGGATCTATAAAAAATTATACATGATATGAACATTACAGTCACAAAAGTAAAGCCAACTTACTTCGGCTTTGAACATTTTAATTAAGCCAGAATTGACTTTAGCCCAATACAGTACACCACTAATACCCCATAACTGATTAGAATGTTCAGCAAACGGACCCGTTTTCATCTATTAATTTGAAAGATACACGATAATTACAGGATAAGTTAGTTATAGATAATTAATTATTATATTTAAAATAATATTATATTTTTCGCTAGATTCATGTAAAGATTACCTTATTAATGAAATTAATGCAGTCTAAAAACATATATTCGTGGGCATTTTCTTGACAAATCTTTGGGTCTACAAAGGACTTTGGTAGAATCGTAGGGTGATCTAAATAACATGACGCATTGAAGATATAATGAAATATAAACTGACGATAATTAACAAAATTATACGAGTTTGAATGATTGTGTTCGCTTTTATCAGACGAGTAACTGGTATAATAGACACGAATGATGGTACACTCATCCTACCTATTAATTGTGAACTACCCCATAAATAGGAAAGGAATTGAAAATCATCCAATCCCCATACCCCGTGACTACCTGCTGGTTCCATCCTATATCTAGATTGTAAATTTCTTACAACATCAAGGTACCTAGTCAACACAAGACATAATCATTAAAAATTACCTATGACTACGCTAGTGTAAAGTAAAAATGAAGCCTACAACTAGTACTCATATAGTATGGGTCTCAACTAACAACGAAGATAATAAAAAGTGATAGAAACCTATTAAAGACTTGTAAAACCAGAGAACAACAATCGCTTTCATGAAACACTTCCAGCTTGCATAAACAAAAGAGGAAGGCAACGAAAGAAAGTTCATGGCCTTTGATAGCATATTATAAAAGATGGTGATGTTATTAAGCGAGATTACGATAGTTTTTTAAACATCCATGAACATTCATAATCCTATATTCATTGTTAATTAATCAATGTCTTTAAATTGTAATCAATTAGAAATTAAATTCAGTTTTGATAGTTAAGCATACCTGATCCGTAATCAATCCTAGTAGCGTTACCAAAGCTTTCTTCAAGAACAAAATTCGCATAGATGAGAAACAGAAAATAAGAATGAATAAAAGATATTGAATGCAATCCGAGTAAAACGTGAGCAACAACAGTTACGGTTATACCTTTCCAGTAGGCTTTAAGTTCTATTATTGATTCTTTAGCATCATCAGGTAGCAATGGGGTAATTAGGTCATCCGCTTTCTAATCGAGTGTAATCGAAATATTTAAATATGACAAGAATATGCTGGCTGAGCACAAATGGCTGTATAACAGCTAAAACATGATCCTGCAAGTACGCTTTAGTTGTTGATGTAAACTAAATTCAATAACGTTTTCAGGTCCAAGTGGATCTTGCGATCTTATTATTTCTAGTTTTATAACTCCATGATGACAGTCGCAAATTTAAAGACGATACCTTTCATCAATATCCTGTATTACCTCACATAGTCTATTCCGCCAATCCCTAAATGCGGCATTACCGAAACGTTGAGGTTGATCTATTGGCTTAATTTCTTCGGTCCATTGATCCAAAGTATCAAGAATCTGTAGCATTTGTTTGGTAGCCTAGATACAGAATTAAGCTATATGATTATTTACAAAAATACTACTCTTTCCTTCTCGAGATATCAATCCAATCTTCATTTTATTAAGTAGTCAGATGACCCCTACGGACAGCTTTGTATGATGCTTAAGTACCTCTGATTTTGGAAAATCGTCTGAAATTTTCTTGTTTCTAATTGCCATATTAAGCGATTGTATAAATCCCAGTAATTCCGCATAAGCCTAATGTATAGCAAGGAACATCTATCTCATTCACCATTTAAAAGATATATAGCAACATAATTACAAATTTGCCTACAATGCTGTACAATGTGTACATACGGGTATAGTATACCTCGACGCAATGAAATACTGTAATGCTGTGGTGTTATTATTCGTATGTGCCAATGTCATCTACAAATGCACCTTTGGTAAGTAATGGGATAACATACTGTACACTGTAAGTGATATTACAGTCGATTTCTTCGTCTGTTTGTATTGCATGCAAGGAGAGATTTCACGATTTTGATCATTGACAAGAAGAATAACAAACTGTGGGCATGTATCGATTGTAGCATCGTTGTACGTATTCTACTATTGATATCAATGGTAATCAATGAAGAAGATTGCCTAATTTGGTGACGTTAAATGCATTTTTCAATCGTGTCTGTTTTAAACTGGGTCATGCAAGTCTGGGATAGTGGCCTAATTAGCAAAACAAGATCTACCGACAAGTTTGAAGAGATACTACTTAGCAAAATATTGACAATTTACCGATGATTGCAACCATTTGGCCATGTCCATCATGGAGAGTATTTCTCTCTTCGGTTGGATGAATGTTTTGCCTTGAAGCATTTGAAAACAGTAGATACCTTTAATAACATCAGAGGCTATTTATTGACGATATCATTGGATATATCGTCGCTTGTAAGCCGATTTATCACGTAGACTAACCTTGACTTTCAGCGTTGGTCGCCATGGTAGATAGAGCTTGATCTTGGTTGCAAATGGCAACGGAAAAGTAGACGGTAGTTCAAATGAACTGTATCGAATCTATAGTACAGTACTGTACCGTAATAATGATACAGTACAGTACAGTATTGTACCGCCCCCCTACAGTACACAGAAGGCCCTGTACTGTACTGTACTGTACTGTATGTTGCTGTGGAAAGTCTGCTGCTGTAGCTCCATTCTCATTTCTGATTTCGATCTGCAATGCTGAAAATAGTCACTTAAAACCATCGTCAAATCGGAAGTTATTGAAAATTACACGTAGGATCACAACATACAAGATACTCATGCACTATTACAAGTGTCTCTTGACATGGATAACCATCCACTTGGTGGTACCTTTTGATATCAACTTTGGCTCTTGCACGCAATATCCAGCACATCAAGACAATCAAGCCAACGTAGGTCAAGCTATTGCTATTGATCCAAACGGATATATTGCCTACTGTCCATGTATGGGTAAGTCTACCTTAGTAAATCCAGATTGTATGGATTGTGTCAAGAAATGTTCATACTCTACCCGCTGATAATTCAACACTATCAGTTTAAGAATGCATGCTGCTGCTCACCTTGTTGACATTGGCTTCAGTACTCTACAGTGTACAGTTGATGACAAGTAGTAGCATCAACAGAATGAGCTAACAATTATTATTGATTACACGCTTATTAAAGCGATCGTTCCAGTTAGTCAGTAATCACAATATTATACCTATAAATAAAATTCAATTTTGATAGACTATACGCCTATACAATCATGCTGCAAGTGTAATTGCTCTACTATGTCATGATAAGTGTACAATGCCATGAATTTCCGATCAGTACACTTGAATTGAAATATGGATTACTGGACAGATATGTCAATTCTCGATAATTATAATCCTTCCTATTGAAAAAGTTGCAGCTAGAAAAATGCAGGTGTATTAGCAAATACTAATATCAACTTTGCTTATCCTAGGTCGCTGGGGTAATCAAGCTGATCAGTTTCTAGGCTCTCTCTCATTTTCTCGTGGATTGAATAGAACATTAATTTTACCCCCATGGGTTGAATACCCTGAATGGAGCCCTGGAACATCTGTAAATTAATATTGATAATACCATACTGTAGTATTGATCTTTATACGATATAGTAGAGTATTGTACTGTATGACATGCTTATAGAACGGATTTCCTAGCTTTGGCAATTGATTCATTTGATTATTGGTAACTATATTGCCTATTTTAATTGAAATTGGAAGGTTCAAATTCCTTTCGATAAATATATTCGAGTACAGCCTCTAAGCCAATACCATCGTGTTATCACCATGGAAACATTCATGAGTAATCTTGCTGCCACTGTTTGGCCACCCAACAAACGGATCGGATTTTGCTTTTACTACAGAGAGAATAAGCAGGTATTATAGTCATATATGTCCATCTCTATTTACTATATCCTTGAGATATTGTATGGATACTGTTATAAAGATGATTAATTTTTCTAATTTTATAAAATCACGGTGATTAAAGTTTTGACTGTGTTGTGCATAGTAGGCCACTACTGTAACTGTAATAATACTTTTACTACAGAGAGAATAAACAGGTATTATAGTCATACATGTCGGTCTCTATTTACTATATCCTTGAGATATTGTATGGATACTGTTATAAAGATGATTAATTTTTCTAATCTTATAAAATCACGGTGATTAAAGTTTTGACTGTGTTGTGCATAGTAGACCACTACAGTAACTGTAATAATACTTATTGGAATGAATCGATTATGCAATTGCTTTAATACTTTAGTGTGCAATGAAGGAGGGCAATCCATTTGGTCCATTTTGGAATCATTTTGAAATTCAATTCAAATCGTACGTAGAGTATGGAAATAGGATTGGTGGTGGCAACGCTTATTATTCATTTAATGAGCACGTTCGTTCAGCTTGGAATCAAAAGTAAATACAGTTTGCAATAAATTAAATTCAAATCTTGTTATGATGTCACAATAGCAATCTGGATATGATTGCTTGGATTAGCTATTATCATTGTAACGTTATTATCTAATTTTACGTACTGCTCAAATTCAAACTGTTTCACTTACGGTCCATGTAATGATAGTTTTCCAGCAGAAAAGTACCCAGTGATGGCTTTCTCTGGCCCACCAGGCGATTTTCCGGTTAAAGCACACGACCGGCTATTGCACAAGTATGTTAAATGGTCTAAATTTATATCCGGAAAAGTAAAGACTTTCATAAAGGATTCCTTAGATAAGCAGCGATTTGTTGCTATTCATTTAAGAATGGGTTCAGATTGGGTACGCAATGACTGAATGTTTATAAGTAACATAACGAATTGCATTATAAGCCATCAAATAATAGCCTAAGACTAACCGTGGATTTTGCGAAATTTAATTTAATTCATCTTAAGAAATCGGCCTGCCAACATTTAAAAGATCACGAGGCTAAAAATTATATGGAATCGCCACAGTGTTATGGAGATAATAACGTCAAGCCAATACCGTATAAAGTATGTTATCCGTCTGAAAATGACATTTTCAGACAGACTAAACGGATTGCCCGAAAGTATAACGTTACCAATGTTTTTATTGCAACGGACGAAAGTAGCGTACGAGATAGATTAGAGCAGAAATTTAAAAAGGAGCAGGTATGGACGTAGATACTTATACGAGTTAATCTGTCAGATGATGATGATATTAGACTTTTAGGGAAAATAACAACACGCTGATTATACCGTTCATTTCTTTCAAAATTTTAGATTAGAATTGTAAGCCTGAATCCCCCCGAGCCTCATGTTGAGCTGGCAATTATTGGCAGAGCTGAACATGCCATTGTAAATTGCATTTCATCGTTTTCCGGGTTTGCGAAAAGGGAAAGGGACGCAAAAAATAAACCAACGACTTTCTGGTCAATTAAATAATTTTTAAAGATTTTGTACATCTTGATACAATTAGAACATTATCAATTTATCACGGGTGTGCTGTAGGCTTAATAGATGGATTATGAAATAAAAAGGAAAGCAGTAGCACATTTATTATTCGTAAAGTACTAGTTAGAATCAACGTTGCAAAAACCGAATGCTGTTGTAATCTACGCTTATTTTGCTCCATCACTAATGTCTCGCTGGCGAAATGAACTTCATCTCGTTGTGTTATTCTGATCAGTATCATATGTAAGAGCGTTGCACTTGTATACGGTACAGACATATAATATTGGTTCTTTAACCTATTTATCTAAAATTGATTCTTGCTGTTGACGATTATAGCCTCAAGCAATGTTAGTATTGTATTGAAAGTTTTTAGGCTTTATATAGAAGTCAGCTTCAGACTACTGTATTAAAGTGCAACCTCAAATTTTCATGTGATTTGATTACATGTTATCTAATATTTACTGTTCAATTAGAAAATATTTTTATATTCTTGTATTCAAGCAAAAAATGTGAATTCTAAAGTGACTTTTATTATATATATCGATATGTATCGACAAAATAAGTTCCTACATAAGTAAATTTATACATTTATCGACAAAAAGGCATTACTAAACTGACTTTACGTAATTATATAGACAATAGTAAAGAAGTACACTAACATTCATGCATTATTCCAGTGGTAGTTATACTGTCTTTACGAAGTAGCGCTATGCTTTTTCTATCATTTATCCATAGAGATTCTTTAGTAGAGTAGATGAGCATCTTAATGATTCCAAGTATCAGGAGTAATAATGCATGCGCAACTTTGGCTTGCAACACGATACGAATTTGAATTTAGTCACTATTTTAATTAATAGCTTGTGATACAAAAGCTTTATGCATAGAAAAAAAGTCTAGATCTTGATTTTATAGGGTTTTAATTTATTTTACCAATATGTTATTGCATTAATTAATTAAGACTCTTAATATATACGACAATATTGATACAAATTGGAAAAACCAAATTAATTTGAAGGAGGCCTGCAATTAAGAAATGGGAAATATTGATATAAGCATCAATTTCTCTGTATTATGCCACGTAAGAAACATTTTCAAATCTTACTTTGCCCATTCGACGTCCAAGAGTAAGTGATCATAAGCGAAACCATTTAACTGAGATATGGCATATGCTGCATCTTCACGATTCTTATAATTAATGAAAGCAAAGCACTGTATAAAAAGATGCAAACATTGAAAATGTTGATTAGTAAGTTTCAAGTGGTCAATTTCTACGCAATACTCATTAAGAGAATAGTTTAGGATTAAAAAGACCTTTGAGCGACGCGTTTTTTTGTCACGAACGAGAAAAACTCTGGATATTTGACCAAAATGTCTAAATAAGTCAGTAAGATCGGCTTCGTCGGCATCCTCGGATAAGTTGGATACACGGACTGTATTCTGATCGTCTACGAAAGATTATGATAATAAAGTTGTACCATGATACCTGGTTAAAATATACTACAGTAAAATTATAATTTACCTCTCTTGTATAATTCCAGAGTGTCACCAAGTTGACTACCTCCAAATCTTCGACTTGGTACAACATATTTACTGTCAACTCCCAATTGACTACTGGCCATCCTAGACAATTCACTTCGTGCATTTTCTACGTAAGATGGATAAAGGTTATAAATTGATGCCATACAGCAGATGAAAAAGTTTTTGGAGAAATACTGAATGATAGGTACTGTATTTATCATCCATACTAATTACCTTTATTAGCGGCAAAAGGTGCTTTGTAGGTTCCAAATCTTTCTTTTGGTATATTGTTTAATGACTTTTCGTCACTGTTATCCTATAGTCCAATAAGATAATTCATGCTTTTATCGGTTGCTAGTATTGAATAGTGTATGTGGTTGTACTTACTTCACGATTTGTTATAAATGCTAAGAAGGTGTCTTCAGCAACTTTAGTCGTACTAGAACTAGGACCTTTAGGATCTTCAGTAGATGCACCAAATTTCTTCCAAGCCTATTGCAAAGCATGGACAAATCATTATCACAAGCGTTTCAAGTCGTCAATGGAATGGCCGCACGTCAGCATTCCAACTGTCATCAAATGGAGTTGATAATTTATTTGTCGGTCAATTGTCCTACCTTTCTTTCAGCAACCGGTTTAGGAACTCTCTTGTTTTCAATGCGAAATGTTCGTTTAACCTACAAGCATTAGCCATCATACATCGGCATTAGTCTTCAAGACTTTGTTGAAGATCAACAATTGAGTACAGTAGTATGAAAGCGTTACTCTTTGCTATCTGGTAGATTGAACATTTTCATTTTCAAGGTGGCTGTGATAACAGCGAATAGCAAGCATAACAACGATAGGATCTTACCAGAAATTTTCTGTTGCCCTCTGTTCTCTCTTCTTCTACGATTTTAATACCGTTATCCAGAATTTCCACCTTAGGACTTGAGGACTCATCGTCTAGATAGGACAAGCAATCTTGAAATTGGTAAAATAGTCTCTCCACTCATCCTCTACTTCATAACGTCTACATCTACTTTATTTCATTAGTAATGTAAATCAACACGAAATATCAACACCCCTTGTCATCAACAATTTAGCACCAACTAGCATGATGAAAAGCCGGCTAGATGGACTACCGATGGTTGCATGCCAAATATTACTGCATCCATTATCTAGACGATATCATCATCAACTAACCCTCATTTTCCATTCTTTCTCCCCACGTTGCGTTGGAACTACAATTGAAATGAGAAAAGAAAATGAGATACTATCTATATTATGGCCTAACTCGACAACAAATATAGACGATGATGGAGAATGTTCAAATGGATCCAACTTACTCTACCATGTCGTTGTCCATGATTGGCATTTCGTTTTGTATCAGACCTTGTATAGCGGTAGACCGTATCGCTTTACCACTAGGACACCACGTTGGTGTGGCGCACAGGTCGTCCGTTGTCCGACCGTCCATTTGTCCAGTGGGCGAAAGTGAGTACAGTACTTTCTTTACTGTACTCTGGACTGTGGACATTGTCTCAGTACTCAAACACCACACAGACAAGTATAGTCCACACTGCACTCCTCCTCTACTGTGTATCATTTGGCCACAGGAGTAGTGCACTGTAGAGCAGTGGCCCCTCTCGGCCACGGTACCAATGGGACCGACGATGACGGCTGTAGACATTAAATTAGCACACCATATACTACTATATTATGTACCACATTAGGTCCAGGATGAGAAATAATGTCACCCATGACTAGTGATATCCTTTTGAACGTCCTGTATAAGGAAGCCGATTGGACAGTGCAGTCAACTGATCCATTGGATACTCCAATTTTTGCATCAATTTGTACAAAATCGATCGCAAATGCATGGTTTGAACAAGGACTGTCTAGAAGAGATTGATCTATATAGGAAGGTGGATGGCGATTGGCCTTTTTGAAGCGTTTTACTTGTAGTTTTTACTCTTCAATCATAGGGGAAAAAAACGGATTCCATTGTACAGTCTTATGTTCAAAAAGGTGTCCACTGTTGGTTGGCAATTTAGTACACTGTACAGTATCGTGAGCAGAAGACTTGACACTGCTGTCAACAGTACACGTTCGCCAACGTTCACTTCCAGTATGATTGACTGTCAACCAGAGTTGCCAGCTTTTAGTACATACTGTACGCAATGTACTGTGCCGGTCAAGCGGTAGAGTGGTGTACTGCGCTATCCAATTCATCTGAGCAGCCATGGGTCTAGCTAGACGTACTGTATGGAAAGAAATGGTGGAACTGCGTTTGGGTTATCATGAGTGAGTCAGATTGTGCAAAGGTGCAGACAGTAAACGTTGATCGGCCGACGTTTGCACTTTACATGAGTTCACATTTCAAGTTGAAATCGATCAAGTTACACAGTAACAGCCTGCAGGGACTACTCAAAACTAAGAAAAGAAAGGAACGGGACAGCAAACGCTCATTGACGATACGAATCATTGCAAGGCTGATTATTGGAACGGTCGTTTTAACTGCGTCCGCAACTCCGTATGTCTGTAAAGTGCGTAGCTGTACCGTCTACTGTCTACGATTGACATCTGAATGAGTTACTACTGTCCACTGCTCATGTTAGGGTTAGTGTCCAGTATGCTTTCATGGACCGTACTGGACCTCCATGGACCGTACTGGACCTCCATGGTTATTCGTCCAAATCGTATTTATATGATTTAGTATGACATTTCATATAAAACCTATACTTTCATGGACCGTACTGGACCTCCTATGGTTATTCGTCCAATGCAGCGTGTCACGATGCTGTAGCGATTAGATCTGAGAAAGGTTTGGTTCCTTTATGATCTCTACTAGCGATTGAATGATAATACAGTACACTCTGCCCACTCTAGACATTGGATTAGCACACTCTAGTACAGATAGTAGTGTCAGGATAAGAAATGGCGTCACCTACTGACAGTGATTTTGCGTCAAAGCATAACTAATGACATGATTTGCCCTACACTACCTTGTTGGTGATGTTTCGTGTTATCTACACTATGCAGTAATCGACGATATCGGCTATTGTGAGGACAATGGATGACGTAGACCCAATATAAAGTCAAACAAGTAGACAACTTTGAAAATCTCGAGCGAAAGTAATGTCACTACTGTACAGTTCAGTGACGACATTACTCAAAGAAAGAGTGAGAGAGGGACTGTCAACCATTTTGCATTGAAAAAAATGGGGAGGCTGACTATTTTACTTATCATTTCGCTCTATCGGAAGACTGGAACTGCACACAGTACTGTATGCAACCCACTTGGTAGCCATTTCCAGGCGTAGCTAGTACAGTGTACAGTTTTAGATGTACTCCATAGTCGAAATCACCTGAGAAATAGTCAGCAAGTCGTCGACACTGACAATCGCTTTCTTCAGTCAGTTTACTCTAGCTGTACTGTAATAGTCGCTGATACAGTACTGTACACTGTACACTGTACAGCCTGTCCTGTACGCACTACGGACTGCTGGAGGTCTGGAAAAGCTGACTAACTTGTGAGCAAAATCCTTTTGGCTCTTGCGATGATATTGCCAACAGGAAAGCCATAGCAACTACTTCCGATCGAAATGGGTCAATCAGGGAAGTTGGTGAGTCAACATAGGTGGTAATAAATCATTCTAATGCATCATTTCTATCCACTTAGCATGCGTATTAAATCAAGTAACAGCCAGGCAGCAGCAGCAGCTCTTTTCCTAGACTTGTAGTATGTTATTGAGTGAGCTGCTTGATGACAAATCGCCATCATCAATCAAAACTGATTGGTCAAGCTCTTTCAGCCATCAGATCACACTTTTTCATTTTGTGTAGGAGATAGTATCAAGAAATGACAACAGCACAAGCAATTGATTTGAAAAGAGACTGAAAAGAGATTGATTTCACCTACTCCATTGACCAATGCTATGCTATAGTATTTTAGCAGCAGGTCATGATGGAGATAGATGACATACGCATTACGCAAGTATTGCTGTCTGCAAACTTAGCTAGCGTTCTTTCAAACTACAAAACACTGATCGCTTATTAAAACTCATTGGTTGCGTGCATGACATACAGGATAACAATTCGCCTATGATAACTCGTTGATTACATAGACATTGCACACAGGATAGTAGTTCTACAGTTCACTGGCTGATCGATGTTGATGCAAGCACGTGTATAATCCATGCATTAAAAAAGTATTCAAGATGGATGGTAATGGATGGATAGTAATAATAGCACAAGTATTCGTACATGAATTCCATAACTGCATTCCATTGTTATGCAATATGTCCGAATGCTACACTTGCTGCTCGATCTGTAATGAATTCTAGATACGAGTATATTGTTCTATACAAATTTACCTGCCACGATGGTGTTAAACGAGTAATTCCTCTCAATTTTACTTCAATTTCTTTCTATATCAATAGAGTAAAGACAAGGCTGCTAAGCAAAAGAAAGCAAAACACAAAAAAAAGAAGGATAAAACGATAACTAAGGAGGCTGCTCAGCTCCACGTACAAGCCGCAGGAGATCAAAAAGCGCCCAATATTAATAACAATATTCAGGCTGCTGATAACAATATTGCTAGCGAAAATAAAGGTGCGTTAATAGTTGCAGATTCGGATGTTCTGCATTTTTACAACAAGGTATAGGAATCGAACTGAGTACTTTAATATTGCAATACTTGTAACATTTACTGGATTGAAAATGGCAATACTACGACTTATGCCATATTTCACTACCGATACACTATTCTTATCACAAGTTATTTGCAATATGGATACTTAGCCTTTGAAGCTTATTTTCTAGTAAACTGTCAAGGATAATTAATTATGTTCGACTTGCTACAGATTTACCATTTTGCCTGAGACTCCTCTCCATTTTATTATTATACCAAAGTATTAAGAGTTTCGATACTTCAAACTTTCTCACCTTTTAGGACGCCCGTACACTGTTTCTGTTGCCGTGCCTGGCTCTATTTTAAACAATGCTCAGTCTCCGGAATTACGTACTTATTTAGCTGGACAAGTAGGCGATCATTTTCAGTCAATATCAATAGGTATGGATATCTTGTACACTAATTAATTCTATTTTGTGCCAAAAGATTGCAAGGGCTTTAGTAATTTTTGAGGTTGACGAAGTAGTAATATTCGATGAGAGCGGCAAGACTGTTAAGTAAGTGCCACACTTTGTAATACGGCTTAATCAACAGAATATGGTGTATATTGTGTATTCTGACTTTATTCTTTTGTTACCCTAAACATGAATTATAGCGAAGATGTTGGTGAATTTACTGGCGTTACAAGGAAGGACTATGATCCTAACAAAGTTTTGGCTAATATTTTACAGTACTTAGAATGTCCCCAGTACGTTTTTTTTTTAAATACAGCGTAGGATTCTTTCTTATAGTCAACTACATATCAAGACAAGATTGATTCATAATTTTATCCATGTCTTTCTCTTCAACATTTTCTAGATACCTGAGGAAATTTTTTTTCCCAAAGCATCCTGATTTACGTTATGCCGGTAAATATGTTTCTGTTATGTACAGTAATATCATTTCAAGTAGATAATTCTAATTTAAGTGAGAAGACTGGATTAACGCTAGATAAACCTTTTTTGATAGGCCTATTGAACCCCTTGAATTCCACACATCACATGCTTATTGATGAAGACGTACCATACAGGGAAGGTGTCACATTGGACAGACCCGTCGGTAAAAAGGGTTCATTAGTAAACTGTGGTATGAGGAAGGTATGATAACAATCAGATTGGATAAGCAATCACTACATGTATATTCACAATATTTCTGTTGTATAATGATGCCATTCAACATCGTACCATTTTTTTGAGTCAATGTCTTCGTTATAAACTTGTTCTGAATATCATTTTAAGGAGGTAAGGATTGATCGACAACTTCAATCCGGCTTAAGAGTAACGGTCAAATTGGATTCTGAACAATCTTCAGGTTTGCTTATCTAAATATAACATGATTTTGCATGAATGCGAAATCCTTTCATGCGATTAGCACGTTACATTTGATCACTACAAGTCTAGCCGTGTAATTATACGCCCTAAGTAACATCCGCTTTTTGTTTTATGAAATAGATAGTAAAACTTACAAAGGTACAGTTGTTAGTGCTGATGCTCCACGGATGGATGCAGGTATATATTGGGGCTATAGAGTTCGAGTTGCACGAAGCTTAGGTGCGGCCATTACAGAATGTCCTTATGAGGTTTGCTACTCATTCTACTGTATAGTCTTTAACACGTGATTTTTTATTTAGACTGTATATGTAGTACCTTTTATGATAAAATTCTTTTCCTTCACTTGTGTATTAGGGTGGCTATGATTTAAGTATAGGAACATCAGATGGAGGTGACTCTATGGAAGAGTTAAATTTGTCTTCTTTTAAGTATGCGCAAATACGTATGACTAAATAGTCGTTACGAGATGCCCTTGAATCTGTATGATAACGAATACAGTCTACTAGTAGGGTATTTGGAGCAATCCACACTCAGTATCTTATTAGGAGGAATTATAATTATTACCAGTCAAATGTTTACTCGATAGATACCGTAGAAAGGTTAACTAGCATTAGTATGCAATTTGTAATCTCACACCGTAATATCAACGCTATTTATTAGACATATTTTAATAGCCTTTGGAGGACTTTCTGGGCTTGAAGCAGCCTTGGAAAGTGATGAATCCTTGCGTTTATCAGATATACGCTTACTATTTGATTATTATTTAAATACCTGTCCTGGACAAGGAAGCCGAATTATCAGAACTGAGGTAAACATTTCATAGCAATCATGAATTTTTGTTTGAGAACATTTGAAGGTATTTTATATTACTGTAATAAAACTGTGAATTTTTACCTACAGGAGGCGATGTTAATTAGCTTGGCCACAATAAGACCGAAAGTATTTGCAGCCGCTAAATCGAAACTAAATAAATGAAATCAATTGTTCTACGTATAAAATAAGAGTGTGTAAATTAATTAATCCCGTTTCATATACAGGATTGACTATTCACGAGTAGCGTTAACATCGATTACAGTTTCTCGTAATAAAGAAGTCGATTAATGTAGATTGTATATCGGATTAATATATTTTTTATTAGTGCATTCTTCATAGATACATCAATAGGATCATGTCGTTAGTTTGCAAATTTTTTTTGTATCGAAGGAATAGCTACTATACTAACATGAGGCTTGATCTAAGATTATCCTATCTGATATGCCGAATATGCTTTCAAAATTTTTTACGTCACAACAATTGCTATTGGTACGGTAAACTATGTTCAGAAATTCCATTATAATGCATTCTTGTATGTTATCATTGAAGTAAAACATGAGTTTAAGCTAAAATGTATATACTCGTATGCTTGTGTTAAGTGTATGTTATACAGTATGCTGTCTATGCAATGTATACGCTCCTTAACTCTATTCTCCACCTACTTGTAAGATAGCACCGATTCTACGTAGTATTACTCCGGAGGATATTATGATTTAGAGAGTGAATTGAATTTTTCTATAAATAAAACATGAAAACCATATTGGATAGTAAAAAGACTAATTATATTAATTATCATTCGATAGTTTCCTATATCTAAAGCGATTAAATGCACTGTAAAAGCTGCAAGATAAATATATCTTGCTAGACGCTTTTTGCAATACCTGCCAAATTAATTTAATTTTCCTAGTTATTGGTAATTTAGTAGCGAGACTCAGATTGTATGCCAATTTGATACTGGTTTACTCGGTAGGCCAGTTGTTAATACCTAATCATTACTCGTATGTAACATGTAATTTAATAAACGATTTACGTTGTAACACCCATTACTTTACGATAACTATGTTTTTGGATAATAATTATAATAATATCTGTATAGTACGAGAATATGAATTTACACTGAATGGAAATGCATGTGCCATTTCGACTGTACACGTCTTTATTTTTTTCCTAATCTATATCCATCTTGTGATATTTTACATATACCACAGCCCTGTTCATGGTTACGTGATTACTGAGATATTAGTAACCAATTTAGTGCGTATTGACGTCTGCATATTATAGTAAAAAAATTCTACTTGTTTGCATTAATACAGAGATTTAATATATCCTTCTAAGCCTGGGGTCTTTGCTTATTCACACGTCTATACGGATGATATCATGCTGAAAAGATAATATACAATTGTACATTAATTACGTGTACATGCAATCTTGGTAATTTAGCATCAATGTAGACCATGTTATTATTCTTCCCTATTCTTAATTTAAATTGTACTGTATACTGTATTCGTTATTACACAGGCTATCATCACTTATTGTACAGTTATCCGATGAATATCGATCTTCATAATTGAGCATCAATGTCGATTATTTTCTTGCTTTCCCTTTCTCTAATCGTAGTGTATATTGTATTTATTATTACAGAGACACTATCATTACTGATTCTACAGTTATCGGATGATATTATGCTGAGACAATAACTGCATAGGATATTTATCCTCTTAATTCGGTATAAACGCCAATAATTATTTTCTCATTAGTATAAATGATTATATTTTTTTTTATCCTAGAAAGGCAATCTCCTATACTGTGGTACAGAATATTCGATCTTTCCTCATTTCGTTGCATTCTTATTTTTCTTACTCTTATAATTACCGCGGAAATTTTCACATTTCCTTTCAAGTGCTGGAAGACCATATTAGTGTAGAATACTCTCATCTTTTATACTGGTGCAGCGTATTATTAAAATTCAATTCATTGTAAATAATAATTTGTTCATATTGGTATTTCGTAGGATCTTGAAATATCCTTCCGAGTGAAGGAGGTTTACCTACTGTATTTATTATTATGATTATTAATATATGGATAGTATACAGATGGCACCATGTTGAAAGACAATACGAGTACAATGATGAATTTATTCTGTTTATGCAGAAAATATCCATTGGCTATGAATTTTGTATGCCCATTTTTGCCCGTCTTGAAGTCTGGAAGCCATAACGGTTACCAGACGGACATTTGGCTGGAATCCTATTGAGTACTGAAAGGCATTGAAAGGAGTCTATCGAGTTTTCCTTGGAGTCCTCCTGTCAGTACCATCAATTTTTCCATTGTAGAAAGTTACAGCTTGAGCGTTTGATTTTACACAGTGAAGAGAGCTGCAGTTCAAAATGGCCGCAGTCCCCAAATTGAATCGCGAAGAAGCACGAAGTAAGGAGATTGTCCAACTTGTAGAAAATATCGTTAATTACTAAGAATGTTCTTCTACTTTATTGATAATATAGAACACGTGCAATTACTTAGACGATTATATTAGAGATGATCCTTCTGTTGAGCGATTGCTACCATTTATACTTACAGTACTTTACCGCCAACAAATTTAGTTTGCTGTAGTAGACAATGAATATGGTCATGCCATAAACTATTGTAGCTTAAGACCCACTCTATTCGATTTCATCTTATCGTATATTGAGACTAATTGAGCAAGAAAGAAAGAAAGGATGCCGTCATAGAGATATAAATGAAGTTGATTTGATCTATTTGGTTATCCCCCTTTCGATCGCCTTACTGTATTACACAATTAACATATTGCCACGTAGGATGTTCGAATAAACTTGATGGTGATTTTTGTGATTGGATACGTTACCTATCTATTAATTATAGTAGTGAAAATGGTAATCGATCGAAGTAAGAATAGCTTAATGAAAATAGACGTCCATCGATATTGTCATGATTTGGATCTTGAAGCTTAGTATGCTTGATAGTTTAGAATCATTTTCAGTACGTAACCCTGATCGTCGATGACTGGTTATCTATCGACATCTATATTAATAATGTTTTTACATTGAGCACTTCAATTTTAAAATTATCGTAGTGAAAGAAAGGAATACAGGAAATGGTATACTGTAGGTAAATGGTGAATCAAGATCCAACGTTGAACAATGTTTATCGACTTTTAGATACCACTAATCCAATGGAAATCGATCAATGATGAAATCACTTATTACAGCACATATATCATGTCAATACCATAGTAAGATAGGGTCTCCTTGGGTCATAGAAGTGAAATATTTCGGTTTAATAAGTCCAATTCAGCTTTTACCGTGATGATCGAGTACTGTATAGGCAATGGAATATGCTGTTGTGATCACAAAATTGCCATGATGATTACTTTTGTACTAAACGATATAAATAGCCATATGAAATGGATAGTCTGTAAGTAGCGTGTGATGGCTACATTCATAGTTGCAAATCATTGCCCGGCAGACAATGTTGAATATATTCATAGTCGTGCGTATCCTCGCTATAACTCGCATTATTGAAAACTTTAAGATAGATCCTAACTTGCTACTCTTGTACATGTAGTGAAGTTGATATTGAATTATCGATATTAAACCGTCACTATGACTCCACCAAAAATCTTTAGGATAGACCATGGCTTGATACGCCTTGATATTGTACTAGTTTGCAACTGCCGGCATTGAACGACGATAAACAGCTACAATTCTTTCCCATAAAAATCTTTAGGATAGATCCTGACTGGCTATTAATGTAGTAAAGTTAATTTCGCGATGTTAAACAGTTATAGAGTCATAATTACCCGAATAAAATTCTTTAGGATAGAACCTGACTGACTTGCTATTATTGGAGTAAAGTGAACTTTGCGATGTTAAATAGTTAAATAATTACACAATCAGAATTACCCTAATGAAATTCGTCGAGATAGGTTGTGATTGGATTGATACACGTAAGAATCTATAGCTGCTGAAATTCTTTAAGATAGGATTATGACTAGATAAGTGTTGATTTACATACGCGTATGTGAGAGTTTATAGCTTGTGGTATTGCCGATGTTCAACAGTCTCACAGATTCACAATTACCCTTATGAAATTGTTCAGGATAGAGCATGAGAGGTTTTAGCTGTTGGTTTTACCAATATTCAATTGTCAGTTAGAGTCACAATACCCTGATGAAATTCTATCTTCAGGATAGATCGTAACTTGATGCCTATTGATTTATACATATAAGAGTTTATAGTTGCTAAAAATTCTTCAGATTGGATCGTCACTTGATACATATTGATTTAGATATATAAAAAGTTATAGCTGCTGGCTTTATTAATGTTAAATAGTCACGTAAAGTAATAATTACTCCGATAATATTCTACAGGATAAATCATGACATGATACGTATTGATTTAGATTATGTAAAAATTGATACCTTGTGGTTTTATCGATATTCAACAGTCACAATTACCCTATAAAAGTCTTCCGATTAAATTGCAACTTGATACGCATTGTGAACTAATTGATATTGCAATAACTACATGTAATTTATAGCTGCCTTAAAGGAAGTCGTCCAAGCTTTCACGGAACCGGAAAATCTAGCGAAAATGAATGCTGCTCGCGAGGAAGCTGGTACAGACTTACTTAAAATGATGCAAATTGTAGTACCTGTGGCAACGCAAATACAACAAAGAGTTATCGAAAAATACGGTTTCACAAGTGATCAACAAGGTAATTTTGCAGGGTCGCAAGATATCTTATTATCGACTGTATTTGGTGGGGTAGTTTTATATTAACATTTAAATTTTATACGCGTATATTGCACTTTCGCATTGTATTTTAAGGTGTCTTTATAGCATGTACATTACTTAGATGTACACTCAAAATATGCTGTTCGTTAGCTGTATTAGTAACGGCCGAGAAGACTGATATTTTACTACTTTAATTTTAAAAAGGATGAAAAAAAATTCCCCCTGTTACAGTACAGTATTCTGAGAATTGACTATAACTATAGTTGAAGATATTTGATGACCTAGGCAAGCAACCCAACATGGTTTACTGGATTATGATAGAATTTACCCACAACTTTACCTTCTCACAGTAATTGCGAACATTAAAAGTATCGCTGTTCTCTCTGGTTGATACGATGACAGGGACTACTGCACAGTAGTTTCTGACTATGAACGTCTTGAATCAGATCTTACTTTATGGTCCCGATCGCTTTCCATTTACTCTTGTAATAACAGATGATAACCGGAAAGTTGCAGTATATGTAGGGTCTAATACAACATTATTGAAAAGCGGCAAGAGTAATTTCATTGCTTTACTAATGTACAGTATACTCAATGTGCGAGGGCTTTATAACTTATTAAAAAGTTTTTCAAGCGATTGAATGAATAGTGAAAACACTGGTACCTTTTATTCTAGGAATTTTAAAAAAATTCAGTATCAATATTTCACCACAAATCATCATACATTTTAAGTCTAGTTGTGGCACTATTAAATGTAGAGAATTCACATAACGATTAAGTACAAGTTGACGATATTACTAATGTTATTACATACATTATGCGTATCTACAGGATCGTTACAATTTGCGCAAGCAATACAAGCACATGTACAGGATGATACAGAAATTGCTCAGATGTCTTCGCAACTTAAAGCAATGTTTTTGCCGCCAAATATGCAAGGGCAACGTTAACTAGTAATTCCTCATTGCGAATCAATTGGGGATCTATATAGGATTTAATGTATCTGTTGATTCTTTTCTTGTAATATTTACTTTTCTTAATTGTTAATAAAGTTATTACTGATAGACCAAACTGGACTAATTATAATTATTGTAGAGTATACGGAATGGTTTGTAAAATTGACCAGAAGCACAAGTATGGTAATTAACCGTACGTTAGCTTCTAGAAGCACTCTAGCGACTGAACGTGCACTTGTTGTTATGGCAGCTGTCAACTACATAGTTCTATCGTAATGTAAAATTTTAAAATCACCCAAGCTTGTGCCTCGCTCTATCTGAAGAAATGTTATTCTACACTAGTTACAACAACAACGGCTAGTACCTATAACAACGAAGTAGAGAGATATCGGTATGATCAAGAAGACATCCTTGAATTGCTATGCAACATTGTTATCGATTCTAAACCAATCATGCTTATAGTAGAATTACAATAGATTTATCTAGGATAATTAAGCGCTCGGTAATTGATCAATGGGTGTCTTGAATACAAAATCTGCCGGAAATAGATCCTTTGATCGTGGAAGTAATAATCGATAAGACTGTCGTATAGTGACATCAGCAACGCCAGCTACATCTCCAATTTCTTTCTGTGATTTCTTTGTGTCTGATGCTTGAGACGCTAAATAGATCGCCGCAGCAGTAACGGAAACAGGACTTCGACTAGTCAAATAATTACAAATAACCGTTAGGCTCCAATTATTTATCCTTTCAATTACTTCATCTAAAAGATAATTAGAAATACTTGTAATAGTCGACATTACCCTGGAGCAAGATCAAGTTCGATAGCTCTATGAGCGATATGAGAGGCTGCTTTTTGAACGTAGTTGGGCAAATTTAAATTGGAGCAAAAACGAGACTAGCAAGGAATAAGAATTACATCGATATTAGGCGCGATATGGTGTAACTTGACAAGTTGCATGACATGAGTTCAAGTTACCATAAAATCTTGTGTTGATATCATTTCAACATTAGTTTCTAAGGCCTTAAGGATAGCTTTGAAACATCGTCCAATCTCTTTCTTTGATATTTTCGATACAGCACAAATTTCTGTATTTCATTAAGATGAAGATATTTTAATGCATTAGCAGTAGAGGGTATTACAGTGTTCATACTTACTTTGAAGAAAGTCTTACCCTTAAATGTACGTGGGACGCCTTCTTGCCGACAAGCTATATATAAAGAAGCTGATGCTAGAGCATCATTACTACGGCCTTTGAGGGATTTCAATTCATAGCCTTGTTTGAATAGTACTTTAGCCCGGTCCTAATAAATGATCGATATTGTATTACTGTAGACAGTAGGGTAATTTTCATTTAGCTACATGATATTTATGAACAAAGTTTCTTACAACAATCGTTTTTGGTAAGTTAATTCGATCGGCCATGGTTGCAATTTCCTGAAAGGCATTGACTAAGCTTCTGTCCGTACCATTCATCTAATTAGAGTAAGGATGTAGATATAAGGATACGATAGTCTATATACTAGCGTGTTGTAGCTACATCAAGAGGATAGAATCAAGTTTCATGCAGAAAAATCGATACAATCAATCTCTAGTTTCTACATTGATCTTGTTAATCTATAATTTAATGCAGTCGTTTGACGTTCAAGATATATCACGAAACTATACAATAGTAAGAATGTACTCTGCGGCAATCAGTATAGCGTAACAACTTACTGCATATTGACAAGATAATGCCATATTTGCATTTGCATATACGTTTTATGATAGCAGTAGCTCTATATAAGTACAGTATTTCTAGTGATAAAGTTTGCAGTCTTTTAAGATCGAATATTTTTACATTACCGCAGAGCGATTCCGGTATAGTGCGTTGCCATCAACATCGTAAGCTGCTGAACCTGATGGCGACTTACCAATGACAGTGGTTAGATCACTGCCATTCAGTAATGGATTCTACAAATAAGACATAAGCATCATGATCAATTTCTTTCATACAACTGAAAAGGTCATTGATGAAGCAATTGTACAATTACTGCAGTAGTATTGTATCACTGTATAAATGATATTCAGGATTAGTAGAATTTTACGGGCTAGAATCCGATTAGCTTCTTTGGGTACTTTGTATTATAATGAAATTATAGCTGTAAACATTATTCAACTGAATCAAGTTTATCAATTTGGTAAGCATTTTAAAAGAAATGATAAATGATATCATCATCTAAGAGTTCAGTAGAGGTGGTTCAATTCATAGTACACGCATTAGCTGTGTTTTAGTAAATTGTTACTAAGCTGGATACTATAACAGAGTAGAATAGACTATATCCCACCTCGCTAGCACCAACACGAGATGGATCAGATCGAGCCTTTTCATTGCTAAATGTTCTCCATTCGGATCCAACATCAATGATCCTAAATGATAGCATTAAATAAGTTTTATAACTAAACTATCCATATCGTAATGTTTATTCATCCATCTTGTATGAAATTGAAGAATTCTTGTGAACTAGGAGAATTATTTTAAGCTAAAGTTTAGGTACAACAATCAAAAATATACTGTCAATTTTAATTCCAGATATACGTGACTACGAGTATAATGAGTATTTCTCATTCTATGGGATAACAATATATACAGTATATGTTACAGGTAAATAATTATTGGAAACCAGAATTAATTTATACAATCGTTAGAGGTAGTTTTTACTACTATGATACAATCATACAGTAGTGTTGTACTGTACCAAGGTTTTCTCTACCAGGAACTGCCAATAAGCTGATTACAGTAAATTGGACAACGATGGATTTCAATATGTTATTCACAATTGTTTAAAAATTATTCTACATCAGCAGATCTATACTAGCTTCAATTAACTTCAGAGTTGCACAAGCTGGATTCTTCTCTGATACTATTACGTACTCGTATATCAATTAGATAGTACTGATGTACTGTAAAACACTTTAGGTTTGATTTCAAACTGAAAGTACTATTAAAGGGGCATGATATTCAATTCGACATCTAGGAAGGAGTAAATTACTACGATAGAGAATGTACTATAAAGAATGATCATAAAGCAAATATCGATACAATTTGTACAAGCTGTATGTACACATCTATACTGCATCAATCACAATCGTTTTTTTAGTCCTTGTCGTTAAGAAATTGACATACCGATCTCCAACTACTAAACCACATTCTGGACAAACGATATCGCCAGCACTATAATCTTCAATCAGGTTAGCTTGGGGATGTCTAGGGCATCGTATCTGAATGCCGGTGGTAGCCCTATATTCCAGTACAGGTAGATATAAAATGAATGCATGAGATGACAAAACGCTGAAATAGTAAAATACTTTTGGAATGCAATCAGGTAGGAACAGAGTATTTCATCGTCGACTATACTGAGCAGTGTTGCAATCAATAAAGTAGAATAGTTGCTGATGACGTCTTGTTTTGCAACCGTTGTGTGTGCGTGTTTTAGATATCAAAGACTCTTTTACTGTAGTAAACTCGTTGGGAATAGGAAATACAAGGATGCTAATCATGCTATGCTAAGAAAACACTAGGGTTTGTGTAATATCTGGCGATTGGCGTGTCAATAAAACAAGCCAGTTCTCCGATCGAATCTAGAGTCGTGATTGAAAGTAAAGATGGCGAAAGAGACGAGTCCTTTATCAACTTGATGACTAAAAGATGCAGATCAGTAACCTATTGTAGGCTGTAGTACAATACAAGATTTTACCTACTTCTATCGTAAGCTTCACAACTGCCTGGCAAAAGTGCAGTTTGTCTAGCTGCATATACTCTTGTACTGCATTGAGAAATAAAGTATTGCCATCTCATACAGTTGTAACAAGGACTGTTGAAACAGGCGTAACTAAACCAATGTTGCAATTATTTCCATTTGTAACAAGCATCATTATTACATCACTGTGTTTTCTTACTTGCTTCTCGATGTCATGCTTACAAGATAGCCGAGTAGGGAAAGTATAAGAATAATAGACTAAAAAAAGGCAGGCGATTCTTCTTGTCTTGACGATGGAAATGTCCAATCTTTAGCCTCTAGCTAGTATCGATGAATGGTGTATATTGTGTTGTATTGCCAGCAATGCCTCTACCACATTTCCAAGGGTAGCAAGACTGCGATCAAGGCTAGCGAGTGACAGTAAACTCGATCGATTGACTACAAGCAAGAGTAGACGATCCAATGGATCCCTTGACAATGTCAAATACCTTGGTGCTCCTTTCAGCGTTTTCAAGTAATAATGTAGTCTTGCACTTTGGTGATTGTAGACGAATATCAAAATGATGGAGGCACTTTCTCCAGCAGTTAAATCATCGCTTTGCTTGGGAACCGGTAACAACGGCCATCCTACCGTCTATCTGTAGCATAAGTCTACAGTACTCCATGGCAGCACAGTGTAAAGTACTGTGCTCTGCTATACTGTACTTTTCAGAGTCGAAATGATCGAGCCACTTTCTCCGTCGGTCCGGCTGACGGCCAACCACTGGGTCCAAGACTCAAGCCTCGATTACGCAGTTCGCAGACGTCACCTGCAGCCGACTGAGTACAGTACAGTACTAGAGTGAAAATGCATACGGTAAGAGGTAAGCGGTCATTGCAACTGTATCGTCATCGGTCACAGGACGTCAAGTACAGTTCTAGACTGGACCGATGACTCAGCCGTCGGTCCGGCTGATGGCCAAGCACTGGATCCAAGACTCGATTACGCAGTTCGCAGACGTCACCTGCAGCCGAGTGAGTACAGTACACTGAGTACAGTACTAGAGTGAAAATGCATACGGTAAGAGGTAAGCGGTCATTTCAACTGGATCGTCATCGATCACAGGACGACAAGGACAGTTCTAGACTGGACTGATGACTATGCCGTCGGTCCGGCTGATGGTGAACAACTCGATCCAAGACTCAAGCCTCGATTAGGGAGTCTCGGAAACGTCAGCCTGGAGCCGACTGCGTACAGTTTTAGACTAGAAGGATGACTCAGCTGTCGGTCCGGCTGATGGCCAACAACTGGATTGAAGACTCAAGCCTCGATTAACGGAGTCTCGGAGACGTCAGCTGGAGCCGACTGCGTACAGTTCTAGACTGGACTGATGATGCTGCAGCCGTCGGTCCGGCTGATGGCAAGCAACTCAAACCTCGATTACGGAGTCTCGGAGACGTCAGCTGGAGCCTGGAGCCGACTGAGTACTGTACAGTACAGTACTAGACTGGACTGATGACTCAGCTGTCGGTCCGGCTGATGGCTGGACTGATGACGCAGCAGCCGTCGGTCCGGCTGATGGCGAGCAACTCAAACCTCGATTATGGACGGAGTCTCGAAGACGTCAGCTGGAGCCTGGAGACGACTGAGTACAGTTCTAGACTGGACTGATGACTCAGCTGTCGGTCCGGCTGATGGCCAACAACTGGTTGGAAGACTCAAGCCTCGGAGACGTCAGCTGGAGCCGACTGAGTACAGTTCTAGACTGGACTGACGACGCTGCAGCCGTCGGTCCGGCTGATGGCGAGCAACTCAAACCTCGATTACGGACGGAGATGTCAGCTGGAGCCGACTGAGTACAGTACTAGACTGAAAATCAATACGGTAAGCGTTCAGAGTACGCAAGTACGCATCCAGTGGCATACTGGACGCAGTCTCGATTGCATAACCTCGGCAGACCCACTGAGTGCCTTGGTGGCAGCAAGGAGAACGTAGAAACATCAACCAATCAATCGACTATCCCCCCCCCCCCCTCCAATCTTAGTTGTTCTATCATCCAATCCTTCATTTGATTTATTTCTTGCAGATTAGAGACGAAAGATTGTTGCTATTTGTATGTGTTGTGTGTGCTGTCAATGTGATCGATGATTCCTGCCGTTACAACGAGTAAGAAATCGATCGGAGTAAAAGAGTGAAACGACATTGTCAAGATAGAACAACAAGAGGTACAAGAGTCTAACCCAAGGGAAAAAGTGGCTACCGAAACGAATGAAGGCAAGGAGAAGATGACGATCAAGATATTACTGCATGCCTTGGCCTTCTTACTGGTATCCATTATTATCGCCTATTCCAAGCGTGGATCATGTATGAGTATTGCCGAAAAGAAGGAATACAAGTAAGATAATTCATGATACACGTATCGATCATTCATTGTCAATCAGTGTGCAACTACGCGTACTATAGACGAGACTAGTGTAGATGGTCAACGCCTAAAAGTGCCATCATCATCATCATCATGGGCGTCTTGTTAGGCGATAACGTTGGTCTACTGGATTGAATGAATATCAATGATGATCCAGTGCCACTAAGAGATTGCCTACACTTGGACCAACCCAGAGATTATTTTCATCGTTCGATACTACCACTGATCATCAGCGATCCCTTTAAAATGACGACTTGTTCGCCATCGACGCATTGAGTCAATGGTGTTGTTACGCTTGATTGAATGAACATAAAATGGCAATAGACAACTTGATCTTTACTTCTTCTTCTCCATACTACTATTGTACGTCAATAGAAATGATCGCCTACAGATCATCATCGACGATCCCTTCAAACGACGACTAGCTCGTGATAGACACGTAGAGAAGGAGTTTGCCTGAAGTCTTGTTTTGACGATGTTGTTGTTGCGCTGAATTGATGAAACATAAGATTGTAATCCAGTGTTAAATCATCATACTTTCATGATAGTTATGTACGTGTAGAGTAATGGACTGCCTTCTTCTTCTTCACACCAACATTGCATATTGTCTCCAAAATCCCAACTGAGATGAACACCAGATGATGAATTAGTGTTTAAACTAATCCAACAGATTGCATCTTATTATGAGATGCGATGGATAAAACCATTTCTTTCATGTCCAAAAATCACATCCTCAAGACAACGCTCTTACTTTATTTTATACTTGCTTATTCATTTCAATTCTCATCCTTTTATTTCCCAATCTCGGGTATTCATCACATGACTGATGAATATGCAAAAGGAGTCAAGCAGATCATATCAAAATTCCAGTATGGAAGATTAATTATTTTCTTCAACCTATCCACCAGTTTAGTATCATACGTAGTCGTTCTAAAGCGACAATTCATTCGCCCGATATCAATGTTATTTTGGACAGTACTGTAATCATCATCAGACTAATGCAATAGCAGCAATCTACGCGCTGGACTATTTGCCATGATAACTCCATGATTACACCACATTTCAAATTGAAATATTCTTCAATGTCTAGACTACAGCGTTCGCTTTAGGCAAACTGCAGGGATACGTCGTCAATTTCCTATTTAATTTTCAGTTGTAAAAACACCTGCTAAGCTAGTCTGTCATTGTACAAGCAGCATGCTATTACAAACGAAGGAAACTGTACAGTAGTTGTTCTGCTGACGAATAACGATGCCATGAGTACCAGCAATATTGGGCACAATCTTCTAATCATTCACTTTACTCATAAACTTGACTTTACATTTTGACTTTTATTCATATCAAGTTTATCTTTTGAACAATTTATTTCTGAATTAGATACGTAATTAGTCACTTTCAGCATTTTAACGATGAAATTAAGATTACCCCATCTTGATACAGTAGCAGAATAGTTTTTTTCCAAGATAAAATAGGCGTAATCAACCTTGTGTTGATTTCTGATCCAAATGTAATAGAAATAGGATTAAAGTATACCGACTTTTACTTTTTTATCTAGGTAAAAGCCGGCATACCGTACTTTTATCACATTAATAGGGATTATTGTTTATAGAGTAGATTAATTAATCGCTTTCAGTGTTTCCATTAAGAATTAATATTATTATGATTATTATCCGCCTGATACAGCAAAATACACATGTTCAACTTTCTGTTGATTTGTTATGCCAATAGAGTAGACAGATGAAATACAGTATAGCCATCAAACTATACGCTTTCATATTTGTATCAAATTGATCTGATTTCAGTATCACATTCTAATCATATAATAATTCGCATTTACATGTATACGATAGAATCTCTCTTTATTATACCTAACGTAGTTTTATATTCACTATGTCATTATAACTTAAACCGCATTATTACCACAAACACTAACCAAACTCAATAATAGATTCAATTAATCCTATTAATCCGACAAAATACTAATGTCTTAATTTACAAGTATTGCTTCAACGATGGCACTATCGAATTAGCTATCAGACTGCCGTTCGATGGTTCAAAAACTTTGACCATTATACTGTACTGTACTATATTTTTATTCGAGCGTAACATTATCACAATTGATTCGTTCAACTTGAAAAATGAAATTAAAAAAATCCAATCAATAACTCAACAGTACAAGTGCTTCTCTTATACTCTGTCACTACTATACCCATAAGATACGTCGAGATTATTTCTTATCCATCATAGAAACACTCAATATTTCTATTTAATCTACAAATGGTAAAATAGCCTTGGCCAAAAATTGCCTAGTAAAATTATTTCATAAAATTACAATCGAAAAACATTTCATGAATGCTGCGCTTATAACGATTGCAATTACAAACAACATAGCATTTATCTTTACAATTCAATTTTTTAGGGAAAAAGTCCTGGAAATGTTCTACCATGGCTACAACGCGTATATGGTATGTAAAAAACTTAGTGAAATATTATTATTATTATTAATTAATAAATTGTAATCAATATAATATAGTAACTAAAATCTGCTATTCCTCTCAATCGAAGACTGTAATATATAAGAGTATAGGATCCTACACATTTTCATCATATGTTAATTAGCTGTATAACTCAATTCCATTCTTTTTTTGCTTTCCTAAGAAATGGATTGACATTTTTTATGTACTATGTTTACTTTTGGATCTTGTACTGCTTAATTTATTATAAGAGATTATATATATGGATCCATTTGTTTTACAAGTAATTGTAAATGGCTACTACATCTCTGATTACAATGAGGATTTGAAAACCTATCTTACCCATTTATGTATCCTATTGCTTTGATATAATCCATTTATAACAAAACTAAATATGATCTTATAGAAAGTATAACTAAATGATGGAATACAACGTATATCTTCAGTGGTTCTTATTAGGTGTTACTTATTCAATCACTTCTGAGGGCCATAACAATCATCTTTGCCTACAAAGTCAAGCATAAATTTGTAATTAGTGTGCAAACGAAATATTTTAATTTTATCTCTGGTAGTACGGCTCCCTAGCACTAATATTTCACGATGGAATGGTATATAGTTGCTTTACGTTATTCTATTATCTAATAAGGTAGTCAAACGCTATTAAGCTCACTACTGTATTATTACATGAGAAGCTTCGCAATTTTTAAATTACATTCTTTTCAAATCGATACCGTAATTTGATGGTTACCCCACAAGAAATCGTAGCCTTCTTTAAACGGATTGAATAAAAAAATGATTGTTACTGTAACATAGTTTTTCTGTATTACGGAAGTATTTTCAACATTATTTTTAAATTGAATTGTGTACGACGTCACTGTATTGAAATTAAATAATAACTTTCTTTTTTGATAATATTTGCTTTGGAAACACTGACAATTCGATTGTTCCTGGATAATCTTTTCAGACGAATGCTTATCCCGCAGATGAATTAATGCCTTTAAGCTGTCGTGGACGTATCCGTGGAGTAGAACCGGATCGCGGGGATATTGATGATGCACTTGGCAAGTATGTATATAGAGAAATTAATAGCAATAACTACACTATGGGTTAAAACTATTATTGCTCACCCTATTTAAGAAAAGCTGTATATCTGTATAATTATATGAAGATTGTTCAAGATTTATGAGTTCAATGGAACAAGGCAAAAAAGTAAAACGTTTATCTACGTTTTGAGCTAATTTTCAGCTGTTTACTCTTTGTTCCTTTTTTTCTCATGTCTATCATGCAAGTATTCTCTACATACATTACTGATGTAGTGGTTTTACAACTTTGAATACTTATTATTTGAAAATAACTAAATGTACAAATATCCATACTATGTTGCCCAGACACATTTAGGATTTAAATACTGATTTTTAATGTATCGACAATGACTGGCTTGAAACTTCAGTATTACATATGCAATATACGTAACGCAAATTTTAACCCTTCAAAATTTTTTTCCCGTAATTGTAAATTTTATGTGCACAATACCATTTTTGATATTTATCATAATTATTAATAGTATCATACTATATATATATACATGTGCATACAATGCATGAGAAATAGCAACAATCAATCATAATTGTTAACGTATTTTAAACGAGATATTTTCAGTTTTACTTGTTGTTTTGCATACATAGATTTCAACTGACTTTGATTGATACTCTGGACACGCTAGCTGTAAGTCCAATAATCATTTTTGCAAGATGGATTTATATTGCGCTGGATAGTAATAATAATAGTAGCCCAAGCTTTATCAAATTGTGATCATTATAAATTATGTTAACTATATTTTGACTGAATGATATTTCGCTTCAAACATTTTAATTAGGTATTAGGAGATGTTGCAGAATTTAATAAAGCTGTCCGTTCAGTTATCAATACGGTATCCTTCGATACCGATATTGTTGTTTCAGTATTTGAAACAAATATTCGCATTTTAGGGTAACTATAATTACAATCAGTACTACTGCCAAGATAACATCATCGTATATTTTAGGTGAAAAAAATGGATTACAGATAGTTCATGTCCCTTGTTTATTAATATACATATTTAGCGGACTTCTGGGAGGCCATGCCGTCGCAGCCCATCTTAAAGAAAGCGGAAGACCTGAATTACAATGGTATAATAACGAGTTGCTAGATAAAGCAAAAGATATTGGTAATCGTCTACTACCGGCTTTTAATTCGCCTACTGGGATACCATATCCTAGAGTAAGTAACTGAAAATTCTGCCTAAATGATCATAAGTGAACTGTTACTTTTTTTAACGCACAATTAACATTACATCATCTCAACACTCTAGGTTAATCTCAAGTATGGCATCAATAAAGAATTATCTACCAGCAGTACTGGACGTTCTACTTGTTTATCTTGCGCAGGAACAGTTTTGCTAGAATTTGCTGCGCTTAGCCGGTGGTCCCAAAATGCTACTTTTGAGGTATTGCACCCACAGTAAAATTTGCCTTTAAAATTTTTTTTCCAAAATTTAATCCTATTTGACCTAAATCTTAAATGCACATATACGTGTAGTTAAAAGCCCGACTGGTAATGAAGCAATTATGGAAACGTCGACAGCGACATAGCAATTTACTGGGTCAAACAATCGATGTAAATGATGGTGACTGGATAACAAAAGGTATTTATCTACCATACAGTATGTGATTCATTATAGTGGATGGTATCATTATGTTCGCAGTCTATATTCGTTCGATATCGTGGTTAGCTTTGCCATACCCTGATATGATAATCCCCGTAATTTGAAATTTTTTCACTGCCCTTTTGATATTTAGATAGTGGAGTTGGTGCAGGCTTCGATTCGTACTATGAATATTGTCTAAAAGCTTATATTTTACTTGGTGATGAAACGTTTCTCCATCGATTCAATACGGTAATAAAGTAATGTTTATATAGCAGTTACTATTATTGTGCAGTCTACCGATACTCATGGATTTTAAAATAATGACGTTTGTTATTTCTGATCTAAAAGCATTACGAAGCCATCATGAACTACATTAGCCAAGGACCAATGCTTGTAAATGTATTAATGCATCGACCACGATATGCCTCTCGCCCGTACATGGATGCTTTACAAGCTTTTTGGCCTGGATTACAGGTAATTGCTACTATATTGGATAATTGTGCTAAACAATCTTATATAATCAATTAATATTTATACGATTTTGTAGGTATTGAAAGGAGACCTAAAGTCTGCTGTGATAACACATCAATGGTTGTATGAGATTACAAAAAAACATAATTTTATTCCTGAGGTATGGCATAAATTTTTTCATTTTACTCTGTGCCATTCCAATAAAAGATAGCGTTACTTCTTTTTAAATGCAGGCCTTCACGCCTAATCTGGGTGTATACTGGCCTCATCATCCACTTCGTCCAGAATTTGCTGAGAGCACCTATTTTTTATATAAGGTACAACTGTTGTTTTCTTGCATTGCCAAATGCAAGTCAATTTTAATCACAGCAGCCTCGTAATGCTACTTTATATCCTATAGGCAACCCGTGACCCATTTTATTTAGAGGTAGGTAAATCCATCGTAGAAAACTTAAACAACTACGCTCGTGTTCCGTGCGGATTTGCTGCACTAAAAGATGTTCGTACATTGAGTCAAGAAGATAGGTAAATCGTCAAGCTGTAAAAATCTTATCTTTAATAGTAACTGTTGGTATTAACATTGCCAACTATCCATTTACAGATTGGATTCTTTCGTCTTTGCCGAGACTTTTAAGTATCTTTACCTCCTATTTGCGGAAAAGGAAGATGTGATTTTACCAATCGATAACTTTATTTTTACTACTGAAGCTCATTTATTGCCTTTATCACTATCCAACATTCGTATTTCCGAGGTAGCTTCATAACTACACTAACTTATGTTGTGATTGGGTTATAGCATTTACTTTTACTTCAGTACTACCTATGCGCACTATTGTGCAATTACTAATCAACTGCCTATCGAACTAGATCGATCGTGTCATGGAAAATAAAACTATTAATTTTACCATGGATGCCTCGACTTGCCCTGCAAATAATGATAAATCCAACAGTTTTTCAAAGTTTACTATGAATTTGCGTTCAGGAACTACTGAAAAACAATGTGACCCAAAAGATGCATCACAGGCGTAATTAAACTGAATATGGCAATATTTATGTTGCTCTTGCGTGCAATAAAACTTATTTTGAATTCTTATCGGTACTTCTTTAGTATAAACGCAGACAATCTCAAATTAAAGCCCTCTGACCTGGTGATCGGTAATTTAGAACATCAGAAACTTTTACAAGAAATGGGCGTACAGATCGTTTCAATACAAGATGGCCGCTTACACTTACAACATATGCCTAGTATTGTAAGTCTTCGTCAGACATCTGCGTTATTACCTTTAGTAGTATTTTATTGGTAATTTTATAGTTTCAAAGCAATATACATTAATAACTATAAAAAGAAACAATCAACTTTGCTTAGCTAATGGACTTGATCTAATAATCGTTCTTGTTAGGCAAAATCACCAAAAGATGCAGAATTAGGCTTAGAATTTATGCGACAAGTCATTGAGGTTAATCGTATTATCAAAGAAAATCCCGGTATGATATTTATACATTATTATATTTATATTGGGTATTTTATATTCTACTATTACAATATTTCTGCAATAGTTGACGATTACATGCATTCTTTTTATGGTAGTAATCCAACCTCGCGTAGTTCAGCTTCTTTCCGCGCCTCATAATGGACTTGTAACTTTATCAGCGGGCCCGGCGCAATTTGGAAAAAATTTGACGGCAAAATATCATGTAAGAGGGTTTGCAGCCATATCAAATCCTGTTAGTGGATGTACCGCTTTAAATAACTTCGATGACGTATCTGGGAAAATAGTCATTACTAAGCGTGGTGATTGCATGTTTATCGATAAGGTACTAAATTGATTCTGTGCTTGCACTTTTATGGTATAGATCAATTTCTTAATGACAATTTAATTTCATATTTAGGCCAGAAATGTTCAAGCAAGTGGAGCGATAGGCTTGATAGTAATAGGTAGTTATGATAAATAATGCAATAGTTTTGCTACATCAACAACAAAATTGATAATATATTTTACTAACAGTATAAGTTATATTTCATCACCTTGTTAGATAATACCGAGGGAAGTTCCGCACATTCCCATCAGGTGTTTGCTATGAGCGGGGATCAAAATAACGATATTAAAATACCGGCAGTGTTCCTTTTCCAGAAAGAAGGAAAGATACTTATTGAGGCGGTACGGAACAGTGACTCTAAATTTGAGATCCTTTTAGGAGCACGAGCTATTAGTAGTAAGTTAAAGTGGTCATTTCTATTGATGTAAATTTGCAGATATTTAATTAACGATTACCACATCGTCCATTCGTGCAAGATTGATTTTAATGCTGATTTGTACTATTTTCGACATAGATTGGAAATACTCAGTTTCTCCTGACAATGTAGTCACATCTACAGCAACCACAGAAACAGATACAATGCAAATGACAAAAGCGCCAGATACTGATAAGTCAAGGACTTCCGATCCATTAGCTAATAAAATTAGCAAGTCAGTCCAAAGTCAAACGGGAGATGAAGACATTATTTTAGAAGACAATGAGGATTCGCCATAAAATATTTTCAATGTGTGAAATTAAATTGCTTTCAACGATATTATCGGCGAGCGGTGTTTGAATACATTGTTTAATTGCCGATATATTGCTATTCTTTGTATTTACAATAAACCTTGGTAATTTTTTGGAATTACTTAAAATTTGATATTGTAGGTATGAAAGCGTTTGCTATAATTGTGCCATATAGGCAAAAAAAATATTCGTACTTTAATTACAGTTGCTAGGTTTAGTTTTAGATCCGCATATTGTATACTCGTATATATAATTATTACGGACATAGTAGTTATCGAATAGATGGTATAGAAGTATTGTTATTAAGCTTTTCTCTAACGTCATAATGTTTTTAACAAAATAACTTAGGAGTGATCTATACTGTTCATGTTATCTCATCAAGATGTGCGCATAGAATGCGTGTTTAACATCATGACATATCGTATGATGCCATTCCAAGCTGCTGCCTCCACGAGCGGTAATGTTAAGCATTTTAGAATTCGTTTACAGTAAAGATCGCTGACACAAGCTATTGTACATATACCACAACATGTACTTTGACTTGGATATTGTATATGCCTTCTTGTTCGTTGGCAATGGATCATCACTGTAGATTCTACAGTTTATAACTTAACATGATTTACTGTAAGTAGTACGATAATGTATTTTATGCTGTACAGCAGACATTTGCAATCTCAGTTTTATAAACTGTAAATAGATTTAGTAATAAGCCCTAGGCATACTGTATGCTCGATTGTAATGCTATAGAACTCAATTTTCACTCACAATCGAATAAACCATGCATTACAAGTCGGGTTACAACCTGACCTACAAGTAGTGTTCAAGGCTATTCTACGTATAATGAAGAACTTCCTTTAATAGCAGTTCACGAGCTTGTTATACTGTAATAGAGGCATTTACAAAGGCCAGCCTAGAAATAATGGATTATCTGATCAGCATCAACTATACCGTAAAATGTATCCATTGGGCGATAGCAGTCCATAACTAGATATAGAGTACAGTATCGATAAATCAGAAAATTTCAGCTATTTTCTTACAGTAAATTGATAAAAGAATTTATTTTCTTTTTTCGTCAACCAATTCAATAATACAGAATTTGCAATTCCACATAGAAAATTCATTATTTCAAAACATTTTTATCCAGCGGTCTGAGACGCTTCCATCTCAATTTAGTTTATTATACGTAGTAAATAGTTTAAAATGTATCTATCTTAATGCTTGATTTACACGAAAATGTTTCAATCGATGGAAGTACATTACATATGATCCGAGGTCTACTTTCCAATCTCTCATGACTGCGCAATAACTTGTCATCGTGCTATGAGTCTTCAATGGCAATTTACAGTCTTTCTCATCTCTCCAATTGTATCTCAGTTCTCAGTTGTTATCTCTTCCACCATATCTACTAATGACAATATAGAAAAATCATTTCAGTCAATAGTTTCAATCTTTATACAATACATAGTTTAGTATGGAAGGTTACCGCTGTCTAGAAATGAAAGATATTGTAGAAGCGATCGTATCAGAAAGACTAATCTAGTACTATTCATCGTGATTTTTTAAACACTCATACAAGAGGTGTCAGGGTTGTTCTCATCATTTTACAGATCGCATCCTCAATTCCTTTGACATAGCAGTTAACAAATCTTTCAAGCAATGTCATTGCATGAAATAAAGCGTCTTATCCAATTTACTTACGTGATAAATATAGGTGATTAGTCCAAGATGTGCTTTAAGAACCTCGTTGTTGAAGCGGACTCATTCCATCGCTTTCAAGGCAAACTTGAGCTATCCATTAGCAAAAATTCAAGCTGCAGTCTTTGGTGAGTTATGGCGGTGACCTTGTCTACGCATCTAAGAATTATTAAGAACTATCTGCGAGACAACACCAGCCAATTTACTTGTAGACTTGAACAGACTTGCACGATATCGTGCATTGCGAATATCATCTCATCGCTTCATCAATACCCTTTGGCCATTAAAAAATCGACCATCCATCTTGTCGATTAAGTGCTCGTCTTTTAAATGTAGATTTTCTTGTAGTTCATTTTCATGCTAACGACAGTATGGAGTCATACCGCCATTACTATAGAAGCTATAATAGTGGCGATCCTCTCTTTTTCTCCAGTAGACATCGAGTTTTGCCAGGAAGTGCTTGGAAAAAAGAAAATCCAACCAGGACTTTAAGCTTTCCTATCCAGTTCAAGCCGACTAGTGCAGCACGTGGAGTGACTTCGAGGCGGGCAGATTTCGCTTTATATACTGTACAGTCTGTACGGTAGAATTGTATAGTATCATACTGTATGCTGCACCTTATAGTACAGTATCGTACCGCCCAGTGTTCAACGTAATGTACAGTACCCATACCGTAGTTAGTATTGTACTTTTACCTGCATGTCCTGCTACGATTCCTCTAGTCGTCATAGTAACTACGTCGATGGAGAGTTCAATTTATGACACTCAAATCTATATCTGACTGCCAGCATAATTCGATTTTTATAATTAATTATCAATAACTAGCCAAACGAGCACACCATGCCGCATGAAGGCTATTTCTAATAATATCAATAGATGTTATACTCGTAAAGTCGTATCATTCAATCTGGCAGAAGATTTCAGCTAGTAGCTGCGTCGATATCTATATCTGACTGTCAGCATAATTCGATCTTTATAATTAATTATCAATAACTAGCCAAACGAGCACACCATGCTGTATGAAGGCTATTTCTAATAATAGCAATAGATGTTATACTCGTAAAGTCGTATCATTCAATCTGGCAGAAGATTTCAGCTAGTAACTGCGTCGATGGAGAGTTCAATTTATGACACTCAAATCTATGTCTGACTGTCAACATAATTCGATTTTTATAATTAATTATCAATAACTAGCCAAACGAGCATACCATGCTGTATGAAGGCTATTTCTAATAATATCAATAGATGTTATACTCGTAAAGTCGTATCATTCAATCTGGCAGAAGATTTCAGCTAGTAACTGCGTCGATGGAGAGTTCAATTTATGACACTCAAATCTATGTCTGGCTGTCTACATAATTCGATTTTTATAATTAATTATCAATAACTAGCCAAACGAGCACACCATGCTGCATGAAGGCTATTTCTAATGATATCTGTAGGTGTTATACTCGTAAAGTCGTATCATTCAATCTGGAACAAGATTTCAGCTCATGATACCTTGCTTAATGTGAATAAGATACTTTACTTATGATAGTAAGCAGTAGTGTCATGCGCCTACAGAAATAATTATATATATCTCTATATGCACTCGTATAGAAGTTAATAACTGTGTTGTCTCGTACGACTTATACAAGCATATAACTATAGTTCGGACCATACTATGCTTTGCTTAAAATGGATGACTGCCATTGCATAGACGAGACATGAACTCTTGATCGATGTTTGAATACTACAGTAGCTGCAATTAATTAATTCTAAATTTATTTTATGGCATATAGATAAGTGATATAGCAAATTTTACAAGTAAATCGACAGCATTTGCAGCCTGTACAATAGATCCAGCTTCAATATTTGCAAATTGTACTCGAAAATGGTCAATAAGTAATAGAAAACGGTTGAGAATCAAAGATTATACTGGGATTGAAGAGCAATATAAATATACAAAATTAAAATTTATTTATCAGTTCGACAACTGAGCATGGAAGAGGTAATCTTGCACAAATAGTGGTCAGAATAGTTTGCATATTGAGTATAACAATGTACTGCAGTACTGCATATGTACTAATACATTCTATTGCTTCATTTTATGAAGGTACTAATAATAATAACAAATGATGACCAATAATGTCTTAATCAATGCATCACGTACTTTACAATAGCGAAATAGCGTATTCATACGCTAAATAGAAACAGCATACTCGTATGTGATAATATCTTGTGCTTCATTTTTTGTGTGAAAATATCAACGCTTTACCTATGGTTATTGACCATAAAATTCAATGTACATAAATAGACAACAAGACTAGATATATACAATATTGTAACTTCATTTAGCGGCTAATGAGATAAGTTAATTTATTCTTCATAACAAAAATGGAATGATAGCTCGACGATCTTCAGGATAATTTGAAAAATTCTGATAATACCATTGGTTTGTTTGGACAGCTCCTAAGGAGAGCATCGTTGTAATGAAAGCCAATAACAGCCACCATGACTGATGGTCAAGACTTAAAATGAATCCGATAGAAAAATAGATGATAATTTCTGATAGGTAATGAGGACACGAAACGTAGTTGAACCAATCACCTCTTGGAACTCCATAGTTGTTGTGAGATGAGCTTCCTACGCGTAACTGAGCTAAGATATTATGGCATCGATGTTGATGCAAACTACCCCAACAGAATATGCAGACTCCAATAATATTGGTGGCAGTTGATAGATCTTTCAACCGGAAAGTATCCCCATCTAGAATGCAATTCGAATCAATTACTTAATACTAGTCTTTTACGTAAGTTGATACACATACTCCTATAATTGACGCGTTAAGAGCTATAACGCTTTAACAGTGAACAGTTATACTATATAACTACTATAATATAAACTATAGAAAGAGCAAAATATTACCAACAAACCTGATGTTAAGAAAGATCCATCAGATATGATTGTTAAATTAACTAGTATGTAAAACATTCCTCCCAACAAGTAATGACCTAAATGCATTTGTGCCGATTGTGAAAATTTTGAGATAAATAAGCATTCGTAGAGACGTCGAAATGTTTGCAGGGATAGCAATACCAGAGAAAGGATAATAGATGAGGTCTTAATCGTGTAATAATTGGCAGAGTCTAAGTAGCCAAATACTTCCTTTACTTGAATGATGATTTGATAGCACAAAAACTTTTGCTGTTTGTTACAGCTAGAGAAAAGCACGGATAGAGTGAGAAGAGTAAAAGTACTTCCTATCCAGTAGAAATGTGCAAAGTACCTACAAAACGAGATTATCAATAGATTAATCCACTCGTCTATAAAAGACCTGTTGATTATCACCATAGTCTATCCTTCTGCATTCTGCAGAGATTGTACTTTGCAAGAATTCAAAAGTTAACGATTGCAGAAAAGCAACTTGTGATCAAGATCACTAGAGTAACACTAGCCTACAAAAGACCTGTTGGTTGTAACCGTAGCCTATCGTCCAGTATTTTGCAGAGTCTGTACTTTGCAAGAATTGAAAAGTTGCTGACAGCAGAAATGCAACTTGCATTGTTGATCAAGAACGCTTAGCTCAACTTTAACTAGTCCATCACCTACAGCTCTTATTACCATACAATGTATTTGGTGTTTCAGTGTCTGACCTTTTAGGGACTAGCCACTTTCGATTGAATGCAGAAGTATTCTCATCAAGCAGCTTGCCCCATTCATATGTAGCCCGGATGAAGAGTGGTAAACGATGATGGCATAAGATATAAGCCAAAACTTGAGCTAAAACAATGGCTAAAAGACAGCCCCATATTAATGCGAAACCGTCCATCCTGGAGCTGCTCTCTGCCCTTAGGACATGATATTATAACGCGGCTGCAGTCCAAAATACTGGTCAAAGGAGCATCAATGCTGTATTAGGAAGTTGTAGTCCACAGCAGAAGCCGTCAACGAAGTGTTGAGCAGATTGTGCTTGGGAAATGTGGGGCACCTAGAGCACTGTTCAACTTGATTGAATTTGCCTAGTGGCACTTAACTTAGGGGCAGCTACTGCAGCCGATGGTGCTGTCAGCCTGTCCACTACAGTACGGTACACCAGTGTACTGTACTGTACACTGTACACTGTACACTCAGTACAGTACAACGAAGTCCTCACGGCTGTGGGTCACCCGTGCCACGTCACGACATTACTATCCAGTCCAGTCCAGTCTAGTTCAGTCTGGTCCAGTCCAGTCCGGTCCAGTCCGCACCGTACTGTATCCCGGTGCACAACAGAGTGGACAGACAAGCGGACAACCGAACCTTGCTCAGGTCAAGACTGGACTGCAAGGGAAAATTTCTTGACATTACTATTTAGTACCGTTACTACAGTATAGTACGATACATATGGTTACTACAGTATGCAGCAGCAACAACTACAGCACACTATACCGCACGGTACTGCATCAGAGTGAACGACAGAGTGGACAGACGAGCGGACGGTCGTGCAGAGGTCCGATAGGAAACTAGACTTTAACGGAAAATTTCTTCAGTCAACTGCCAACGAGAGCCTTGCCAAATCCCAAACTCTTTCTCATCACCTTGCTCAATCCTAAACTCTTTCTCATCACCTTGCCAAATCCCAAACTCTTTCTCATCACCTTGTCAAATCCCAAACTCTTTATTTGCTTGCCTTAAGCCTAGTTGAGAAATAATAATCAATATGGTTTTAATGACTTTGATAGCTCGTGTGGCTGACGGGCTGATAATGGCTGCATCCATGCAAGAATCAGAAGAGGTTTGTTCTCCTTGGAGCATTTACGCTTCCGTTGTACTGCATGCAATGGATAGTAGTTGAGTAATAATAGCCAATGCATGTCTTACCTTATTCTACACTGTACAATCATCTATGGTTGTTGCTTATTGATCATGATATCCTTTAAAATACCAACAAATATAAAAACGAACTAATACTCGTATGGGAATCATTGCTCTTCGTAATAACGACGACATCGACACTTTGAACTGAAATACAGTAGATTAGAGAGAATCTTTTTTTGAATTGCAAGAGCTTACTTCACAGCTATTCTAAAACACCACCATATCCAAAGTGGCGGATTACTTACAGTTAGGGAGAAAAGATCCGTCATACATTTAGCTTTCTTGACAACTAAATCGATTAGTCTTATAATGTTACCAGCAATAGATATACTGGTTGTAAAAATGGCAGTGAAAATCATCCAGTAATATCGTGGTAGTTTCTCTTGTGGTGAAAAAAAACAAAATCCGCTTCGCTATCAACTTTGCTGGGCGTACGCTAGTACTGTATTGGAATACCTAACGTCTGGCAAAGTTGCCACAGTTCACGAGCCACCAAACGTTATACCGGATTATTAGTTAACTTGCAATACTTTTCTACCAAGATGAACTTGCCTATAGGTAGATAACATGGGTGCCAACTACTGTACACTAAAAGGATATTCGGTGTTTCCATTATTTCCATCAAGGACGTTACTAATCTGCACTCATAAACTGCCGATACGTTAGCACATGGTAGTACACTTGATTTGTCAATTCTTGTCAATAATTTCGTATAATCTGGTAATAGGTTGGCAAGACTGCACAACAATATCAAAATCAAGCAAAGATGTTGTTCAGAAAACTATCAGATCAATCACCGACACGCTGTAGCATCGAAACTGGTCCTTACGTTTTCCAGTAAGTTTTCGTAACAAGAATATCAAATTTTGTTCTACTGCTGTCTACTAATTATAATCAGTATGTGGAATCACCGTACACGCACCACACTGCTGCAACATGATCAAAGTACTTATTTTTGGCCTATATATTAAGCAGTTATCATCATCCTGCGTTGCATTCTCTTGTCATGATAATTTTACACTGTGGCATTGCGCGATATACAGTACCATATAATACTCGTATATCCTGAATTTCAAATGACAAAGACGTTCTAAATGGAATTCCTCCAATGGCACTTGTAAATAATACAGTTTTCGATCTCTTTTTCGAAGCTCTTATTAATCCCTCCTGAAAGATTCCCCTTAAATGAAATACTGTAGGAGCATTATACTTTCTATTACAGTGCTTTTGTACAAGTAACAAGTTCGGATTAATATGGTCATGAATCTTACAGTATACGCGTACATTAAAATATAAACGGCCAGAGTCCAATCCGTTTATACTGGGAATGCTTTTAACCAACCTTCCTTCTATCTCACGTTAATTTAAACACCCTTTTCTTATTTATCAACAGTTACTTAATAGACACCGGCGTCTGTTTCATGGCTCTTTGCGAGAAGACTTTTTCGAAAAGACTAGTATTTGGATACTTGAATGATTTGCAAGCAGAATTTATCAAATTGTATGGGTCTGAAATAAGAATAGTTTCGAGGCCTTACTGTTTCATTGAATTTGGTAAGCATACCTAAGCTGGTAATTACTTTACTAGAATTGTCTGGAATAAATTATTTTCCCTTCAGCATTGAATAATTAAGATAATCAATCAGCATTCGCTGTTAGCTACCTGTAATTTTTTGTGTAATGCTAATGTAAAATTGAGAAATAGCTGTGTATAAATTACGTACATTACTGATGCATATCTTGAATCTTTTGCATTCAGAAACATTTCTACTGAAAACAAAGAAATCTTATATGGATTCGCGATCTCATCGTAATTTAAATCAATTAAATGATGACTTACACGATGTACAAAGAATTATGCTGCAAAATATTGACGATATTTTACAGCGTGGAGAACAGCTATCAGGTTGTTTTGCTCATACAGTGTTTATAATTATCAATAATCTGTTCTTTTATAGATAACTCTTTTTACAATACAAGAATCATATATAAATTGCATATTTTGTACGTATCCTATACGATGTGAAGCTGATTATCCTGATTTTGCTTTATCCCTTTAGTTCTGGATGATAAAGCTAGCCACTTATCGATGCATTCTCAGAAATATAAAAAGGATGCCAAATACTTGAATTTACGGTCAACTTACGCTAAATATGCTGTCATAGGTTTTCTGTTTTTTCTAATAGTGATCTACTTAAGGTTTTGGTGGTGGTAATACGATGATGATTCTATATCAAGGCGTATTGCTACGAAGATGAAATTAAATTAATAGTAGCATATACAAATTATAACACTATATTTTGACAACAGTCAACTTGTGTTGCAACGTTTGTCAGGATCACTGACATTAAATTACGAATTTTTAAGTTACAACTGTGACGAGACAAACGGTAATAAGCATCGATTGATTTGCTTTATTATTCTGCACCAGTTATTGATATAATTGAAACCTGATTAATGCATTAAAGGTACTATTTTAATTGGTCTACCTATTTTTGATTAGAGATTCGAATATCTCAGGTGCTACATCTTGCTCTGAATATCGCAGTTGATGTCCAGCATATACTGTATTTACTGCTGGTATAAGTGGACAGATGTTAACACTATTTAAAAAGTTAATATTGTACATGTCCTTGCAAACATGTATCTTTACATCAAAGGCTCTCCGCCAGAATATATTGTCATAAAGTAACAGGAAATTAATAAATCGTAGAAGTATAGAGATATACGTACCTGCTACAATTGTAACAAGCGTAGTGTACGATCGTGTTCGTATTGTAATAAAAAGAAAATAAATATCCTGGTAATTAGTTAGATTTAGCATTTCATTATATTTTGGTATTGAATATGATTCATCTAGATGTTCAGCAACTGGCTTCTGGCTGTAACAGGGTGTCGCTACTTTTGTAAAACTTTCATTCAATTAGAAGAACTGTGGCTTTCTTTGTAATCCTGTGATGAATTTCTTCATTTACAATACATCAAAATCGTCCAACTTGAAACAATAAAATAGCTAATTTCAATACAAACTGTGAAGAGACAAATTATAAATACTATAGCAGCAAATTGATCCTAACCTCGCCTTGATAACGTAGTAAATGTTTTTTAATCTTGGATGAATCAGTCCACGTAACGTAATCTTCCATCGTTCTTGTCACCAACAGTGCAGGATCGGTTACGACTTCTGGTCCTATACGAATGTCTGTGATATAACGCGTCAACGAAAATTGTACAGTAAATGCACTTTTTAAAATAATGCAGCAATACTCTTTCATTCTAATCAGAAAAATGTGAGTCAATAAACTTATTATTAGTAACATGTAATAGGAGAAATCATAAATGGATACGACCATGCTCTATAAATGTAGTTGCCATCGAAACGGTAGGAGCCATTCGTAGCTTGACCAGAATGACAGGCAATCTTCTCCTACAATGCACAGTAGTCAAATAGCGAAATGAATCGTTATTACCGCACCTTTATACTAGAACTAATGCAATGGCAAAAAAGCTATTGGCATTAACCTACAAGAATAAATTTTATGGTCATAAACGATGCATAAACTGGAATCTACTTTGATTAGTACACTGACCTGCAGAATGTGGAAGCGGTTAATTTCTCACACAAGGTTAGACTCTTCTGCGATTGGATAAGTCCAAGATTATATCTACACATATAATATTATCAGTTACGCAATCAAAGTCAACTTAGGTATTCAACTCCATCAAGGAAGGGCGAATTATATAACTGTTAAATAAAACGATGACTTACAGTTTTTCGATTAACAATGCGGAAGCTTCCACGCGAAATTCATCATTAACATCTAGCTTTTTAAGTACATGAGATAATTTCCTTACCATTCCACAAAGTTTATTATATCTAGATGTTAAATTCAAGTACAATTTTAGATTATGGCAAGGGACACTTCCAATATGGTGCAGCCTTTAAACTAACATAGAAATCCAATGTCTATAATTACTTTGTGAATAACGAATTAGGTAGATCTACTAGATCTGTAGTCATGACGTGTGTCTTTAATGTATACTAACGAGATGATGGTTAAAAAATAGCCTATCACGTAATTACACACTTGAGCGATAAAAATGAAATCTGATTGTACTAAACTCATTCCATATCTGGTACCAGTATAATACTGCTTGTTCAGCATCACATATTACGCGTAGGGATAACTCGAACTTTTTATATTCAGTCATAGCATTACATGTATACTGGATCATAGCATGATATTTCTATTGTAGATAATGCACAAAGTATTTAATAAAGAAATGGGATGTAATATCGTATCGGTCCAACTTGTAACAATAACAGTATAGTGGATTACTGACCAATATAAAGTTTCTATATCCGTTGATTTAACAGAGAAAAGATGTCATTTGAAATGGGATAGCTCAAGTTGGATATCGAATAAAGCCTTGTGCGAAGCAATGAGATGTACACTATCGTATCTATCCAACTGGTCGTAATCAAAGTACAGCGTGTTACTAGCCAATACAAAGTTTGGATGTTACTTCATTTACAGAGAAAAGATGAAATTTGAATGAGACAAGTAAAGTTGTGCTATGTAAGAGTTACTGCAGTGGCCGAACGAGCCATGGATCTCTTCCTTTCATCCAACTGTAAACATCTTGAAAAGTAAGAATTAATCAACCATGTTGTACACTATCTCCATACTGTACTCATTTTTCTAACAAATACAATATCTCACTATGATCGTTTGCGTCTATGTACTGTTTGGATGCCTAAATATGCTCCGTTGTATGATTATATTTGCAAAGTCGAAAAGTGAGTATTGATTTTGCACAACATGATGTATTGCATGAACGAATATCCGAAATGTAGAACAGAAGTAACAAGCGTTGTTATTACGCTATTTTAGCGAAGACATTTACTTAGTATAATCTTCTCTTTTTTTAATATGATATTTGCGTATAATCTGGATCTCGCGAATATTATTTTCCTTCTTCCATGATATAAAATCAACTTTTTTTAATAATTTCTTTTCGTGATATTTCAAGGAGCGAACCATGCTTGCAACGAGAGAGAGAGAGATGACAGACCGATGACAGACAGACGACCGACAGATGATAGACAGTCACTCTACCTCGAGTGCAGCCACCAGAGCAGAGTCCTTTTCCTACAGTGCACAGTACAGTATTTTACAGTACGAAGTCTAATACTGTACAGTACTGTACTGTAGACGACGGTGTAACGCAGCCTGAATACAGGGGGCTGAGTATTTGCTGGTCGTTTCAACTCAATCGTAGATCTGAAACGATACGCTATACTGTTGATGTCTAAATCTCCCTTCCTTAGTTGATTTCCAACACTTATCATGAATTATTAACGTCTATGTTCTATAATTTTGCGCCAATAAGTTTCTTCCTTATTTCGAAATCATTTTCAGCTGCTAATGAGCGATTTAAGTGCAGAAGTGCAGAGTCCTTTTCTACAGTGCACAGTACAATACTTTACAGTACGAAATCTAGTACTGTACTGTAGAGGACGGTATAGCGCAGTCTGAATACGGGGGGCTGAGTATTTGCTGGTCGTTTCAACTTAATCGCAGATCTGAAACGATACGCTATACTGTTGACATCCAAATCTCCCTTCCTTAGTTGATTTCCAACACTTATCATAAATTATTAACGTCTATGTTCTATAATTTTGCGCCAATAAGTTTCTTCCTTATTTCTAAATCATTTTCAGCTGCTAATGAGCGATTTAAGGCGATCTAGAAACTGGAACTTCTTGCCACAGAGGAAAAATCTGGATTTTGCGGGTAGGTGTTACCGCGTCCTCGTACGAGTGGACATCAGTGGACATGACTAGACATGACTGCATGCAATAGGATTGGCGATGGAGGATGTCAAGGATATCAAATAGATTTATTCAGATATTATGAAGGAAATAACCGTAGGGAGTAAATCGATATCGCAAGGGCTATTATATTCTTACATTGATAGAAGATTCCAGGAAAGAAGTAGTACCTATCCATGTTCACCTTTGGTGTAGCAGTTCCAAGATAGGGGTACTCGTATATCCGCCGATGTTGTCATGGTTATGGCCTTGAGTATCGAGGCGGTGAATTCAATTCACTCAGGCTAATTCCATATATACAAATAAATTATAACGGGCTTAAATTTATACCAACTGTCTTATTTTGTTCAATAGAGCGCTGTAAAACGATGATTTAGGTCAGGAAAGCAATGTACTTTCCTACTACTGTGATCTTACATCGTGAAATCTCGTGCTTTACCATTCACGGCTATGATCTAAATGAATCACTTTGTACTGCTTTAATTTTCGCTGAAAACTTTAGCTTGGCTAGGCAATCGAACTTAGCTTAGCAGTGCAGTATTGGGAAGTCATAGTAGTCAAACTCAAGTGGATTAATTCGTTTGTTTCCTGAAAATGAACAATTGGTCTCCATAACTCGTACGAGACGCAATTTGAAAAAATTGATCTAAATGCGCGTGCAAACGGGTAATTTAGATCACTATCGTATTCATCATGATAATTTTTCTTCAATACTTCGGGCTAGTGGACCAGGCTAAATTTTACTTAGTAGTCTTGGAGAGCTGAACGGCTTGACTCGAGTTGATTGGTTCCTTCCCCCCAAAATAGACAATTTATGTCGTCATTCCTATTAATAAGGCGCAATTTTGAGAATGAATGAGGTAACCTAATCCAATTGTACACTTACGTACAGCGAGAGAATGAGAGACTAGAAGTATATGTATTAACTTCAAGTGTTGTATAAAGTCCAACTCCATACAAATTTATAAACAGCTAGGGCACGATCTATATCAGAACTGCGACTTTTTTAAATATTGATTTCATAGGTAGACAGGGCGATATGAAGTATTTCCAGAATATGCTGTACAATCACGTATAGGAATTTCCCTTGGATCAATAGTAAATTAGTTATGAACAAATGATAAAGTAGATTACCTTTATAATAAAAATGGTAAATTAATTAATTTAACTGTAAATAGCAGCATTTAAGTCGTCTGAACTTCATCAGCGATGACAGGAAATTAATTAAATAAATCATTATACTGTAGACCATCGAAATCAGTACAAAGCACATCAATATATTACTGGAAACGATCAATATCATTTAATATCCATCGATTCGGGTCATGTTTGCTTTTATTGCAATAGGCTCACAATAAAATTGGGTTGTCCATGAAATGGAATGCATCGATCTTATCCGAGCTCGATTGCATAATGCAGGCTGCCGATTTTTATTTAGCTTACTTCTGTAGTCATTTGTTCTACATGTGTAAGACTAATGGGTTTCATGACACTAGAATCATTTCAAAAATGTTGTTAACATTGTTATTCATGCATGACGAATTTTAGTCCGTTATTTATTGACTTTATTCAGAGTCAAGTTTATTTACAAATTGCTCGTGTGTCTTCATATGCATAGTGGGCGAGGTGTAAAATGTTTTCCAGCCTTAATCAACACCATTAGTATAGAGTAATCTACTCATCCATATGCATAAGTTAATGCGCTGTACTAGTCATCTCCAGAAAGGAGGCTAAATTAGCATACAGTAGAGTAAAAACACCTTGAATCGCTTCGATTATTTAAATAACTACGCATACCACTCGCAATGGCTCGATGCCAACCGTTCGTTCACGTGCCCATTGTTCTCTGATCGAAAAAGCCACCTTCAATATCGAATTTGATTTAGATTCCTCAATTTTATATCAAATTCTTTTCCTTGCAAAGGCAATAACATAATCACTTCATAGCTTACATATTCAATGTACAAATGAGCTATGGATTTATAGGAAGTAATGTTGTAAGAATTTATTGGCGCACTAAAAGAAATAATCAATATCAACGACGTGTTTAATGAAATATGTAAAGCAACCATTAGAATATCAACATTATTGTGTCTTGACCATTAAAATTAACATAGAATTAGATAGTAATAGCATTGATTCACCAACATCAAAAGCAACATGGCAAATGTTTATACTGTATAATGTTGACCCAACTCTAGATAATATCAGCAATCAATCTAGATAGTTGATTGAGTACTAGTGCAGTAAGAGTCGTATAAAAATGAATAATCAATCACGCTCGATTTAATATTGTTCGATTGATAAGCATCCACCTTGGCAATAGTTCAATTTTTTTGATTATTTCCTTCCTTACCTCCATGCGATATTGGTTATCAGATAGGATAACACAATACTAAAACCTTGAAGGAATTGTAATTGAAAGTACGGTTCGAAGAGCACAAAATTCAATTTCACTATCGGCCAGAATTAGAAAAACATTACTGTTATAACACATGGCCATCTAGTTTAGGCGCTCAATTACACGACCTCGATGTCAGCTAGCATAAGAGCTCCATTCGTCGTTTTATTTGCCTATGCAGATGAATGTAATAATTACTAACTCTTAATCAAATAATCACCATCTATTAAGTATTAAATGAGCTCTCAAAGGGTGATATGAAGTGTTGATTTCCTTACTGGTTTTTTTATGTATTTCTCGAGAATGACTTTATGTACAGAATATTGCCGATGGAAGTGACGTTTACAAGCTTTACTGACCCTTTAGAATATAATGTAAACCTCAAACTTAACGGGCGTGTAAATGTAGGAAATTAACTTTAGCCTCGACTCTTAGTTGGCCACCAAGTCAATCATAATCTCGGCAGAGTTATTCTATTGAAATTTGGCAGTGACGTCTACATCGATACGCAAATATTGACGATCTATGCAAACACAGGTGGATGATGATTATATTCTTAACTATTTTCCGATCGACTAATTAATAAATTCTTGACCAACAATTTTTTAATGATGAATATTAACTACATTAATAATAAATTGATACCGAGTTAAGTTTTAATTTACTGTAAACAATATTACAGATCAAGATCAATATCCGTTATCGCCTCACATTAAAATGAGTGAGAATAAATTATAAAATTACGAATATTCATCATTCTAATTAATATCCATAGATGTTAACATTAATAGTGTCAATGTTACAGAATAAGTATTTGATCTAGTCTATATCATAATGAGAGAAAAATGGATGATTCAACGTACCTACAATGACTTCAAAATGTGATTAATAGATAGGACAACATGATCGTTATGCACGTTTAGCAATCAAGAATGACTTATAGCTAACGGTTTTGGCTGTCAAATTTTGTTAGATTACCTTGGTAACAAAAAATAAGACCCTTGAAAAATCCGGATTGTGTGTACAAAAGCAATTCAAATTGAATGTTAATCTGGTCAATTGATGAAGTGATTATCTCTGGGTTGTTGAGTGGGTTGTTATGACCAAAATAGAAGATATTTACCAGAAGATTACTTTCATTTGAGTTGGATCAAGTTTCGTGACAAAAAATATTTTCCTCGAAATTATGATCGTGACCGATAGAATGATAAAACTGTTGCTATCGATAGGCAGATATGATCAGTTTACATGGAATTATTTGTAATAGATTCAAAATAGAGTATCTACGCGTATTGCATGTGAAAATACTAGATTCAACCAGCTGTACTTTTTAAATTGAAATTTCCTTTCTCCCCCCCCCTCTGTCCTTGTCTTATGTAGTGCATCTCATTTGCACATCAATAGAATATAAATTCTTTCTTTTGATACCAATACATTAAACTAATTAAGAGATAACATCACTGATTTTATGCCTATTAGTAAGGCTATAATCAAAGTAAGAGGGAGGAAAAACAACTACTGGAATTGTAAAGTAGGCTGAAATTTCAGTCCTACGGTAGTGTACAGGATAAAGTGATTAATGATAATGAAGCTGTGACTAAAGTAAAATGCTTAGTAAGCCAATGGAAATACCTACAGTACGCTTCGACGCTCTATGAGACAATTTAATGTGAAATGAAATTTCAAGTTATTGTGTCATCTTTCAATTTTTACCGTTCAAGAATAATACAGTCAGCCATTTTGTAAATGTAAAGTATCCGCTACATTATTCAATAAAACAGAGAAGCATTGAGAATAAAATAAGAAAC